CCCCATGGTCGAGACGTTGTGGAAGCAGTAGAAGTCTTGTTGTTGTTGTTGTTGTTGTTGTTGTTGTTGTTGCGCAGCAGTTGAGTGGTTGCTGACGACAAGGGTGCTGCCGACGACAGCGGCGCTGCTCGCGAGCTGAGTGGTTGTCGACTGCTTGGCTATCGAGCCATGTATGTAAGTTTGTTTGTGTTGGATGAATGAATTACTGACAACATCATCATTGTGATGTTGTCAGAGCCAATCAAGAGATCGGATACTAATGCCTAGGCTGCTGCTGCTGCCCATGCCTCCAATTCTGTCCTCTTGGCTTCTTGTCTCTCTCAAGACGATTGTGGCAGGAATGTTTTCTTGTTGTTGTTGTTGTTGGTTGGTGATGATGGCACTGCTGAGAGTGGTTGATGACGACGACGGCCGTTCGTCAAGAGATGAGTGGTTGTGGACTGTCGACATCAACGACGGTCGTTGTTTGTGTTGTTGACAACAACAGATGAGTTGATGAGTCAGTTTGTGTGGTGGCGTCAGTTTGTTTCGCATCAAGCTCTTAGACTACTCTACATGTATTGTCGCGAATCAAGAGGCCATCATTAGATGATGTCCTTCAGAGACTCGACTCAAAGATACCTCGTGAATGACGTCAGTGAAACGGTACGGATCCAAAAGTGAAAGCATGCGAACGCCAAGCAACTGCAAACACACATTTGTCATACAGTCACCACCATGATGAAAGCTTTGCGCCCTTCAAGCAAGCTGTTGCTAGAATAGAGTAGAGGTGCACCGAACCACCCTCTGTTAGAGTGGGAGACAGTAGAGAGGCGATGACATGCAGACCATTGCCGAACCATCTCCTTCTGGGAGTAATTTGTCGGATTGGTTGTATCTTGAGCACTGTCATTTGCTGGTCTGTCGAACTGTTGCCATCACACCAATCCTCTTCAGGCCTCCCTGATCTCCACTGCCGACACCATTGTCTCTACCACCACCATTTTCTCTACCCACATGTCTCTATGGAGCGAAGAATGTGTGGTTTGATCATTAAAAAGGGTGGCGCCTCGGGCATGAGGCTACCACCAAAACACTATGTTCATCTCCAACTTGAGCAAAAGCCCAAACATGCTACGGCAGTGATTATGCTGCAACCACTGCCAATTGGGTTTTGCCAAGACCCGTTGAAGTCATGCACCTGAACCGAAGAGTTGTACTTATACATTCATCTATAAGCTCTATGTAGCTATTAATACCATATATTATTGGTGAAGGGCCCGACTCCGAATGACATCTTTCGGTCATGATCTATCAACATGAATTGCATACATTGGGGTATGCTGAGTGACTCAGTTATTGATCCTTTCAAGGCACGAACGATTGCATAAAAGGACGGATCCAGTTTTCCTGCTTGTTGTACACTCTGCTCACTTGTATACCGGACACATTCAGTTGATCAATGAACTTATCCCGTGAAGCAGATACTTGGCTTTCTTTCAAACTCCCAGTGCTGTCAATAAAGAGAGCAACCCGATCCGCATTCCCGGCAGTGTACTCATTGAGGCCACAAAAGGATGCCCAATCTTGAGCCAAGGCAGAGTCTCCATCGTCACGAATCACATTGTAGTGAAAGGTGGTTCGGTTGTCTTCGGCAAAGGTGCCGGGCAAGTCTACCGTACCATAAATTTCTCGATTAGGAACCAAGAGGCAGAAGGGCCTGTTGGGGTAAGCTTTGCGGAAGGCTTGCCACATCAATTCCTACAGCCAAACTAAATGTGAGCATCCCATCGAAACCCTCGCGAAGAATCCACAGTCGAAACAGATTTGCTTACCTTCGTGCGGAAACTGCTGTCCTCGTCAATGACAGCAACACACGGTACAAGTTCGTCCTGCAGCCTGCACTGACCATCAAATGGGTCACAGCTAGAGACGTTCGATCCGCAGGTGATGTTGGTCATTGTGCATCCCAGCTGGCCACCAAGGCAGAAGAAAGATCTCTTGATGCATTGATTGGTGCTAGCTTTGCAGTCCTTCATCTCTGGCGAAACCACACCTTTCACCACCTGGATGGCTGCGAAGGTTCGTAAAGCCAAATCGGTGCTGACTGAGCCGTCAAATACTGGCAATGCCTGAAAACCAACCGTGCTGTTGGCATCCACCATGACTACACCGGAGTACACGTGGTCTCCTTCAACCAGGTCGGCACCCGATCCGAAGTCAAGTAGCTCTGCCAGCGCACCTGTTGTATTCTCCCGGCTGTCCACGCTGATTTGGTAAAGCACAAAAGAGGATACGGTCCTGAGAGTTGAGTTGGCCTCTCCTCTCAAATCAACAGTCACGACTACCACCGTCGGCGTTGCGGCTGGTATTTGGTTGGGGGCAAAACTCAATATCCCTCGCTGCTGGAATACACGTGCTTGAAAGTCCAGAGTTTCCAGAGCCGCGTCAATACCGAATAGGATCCTGTCCATCTGACAAGCATAGTTTCCATCGCAAAGACATTCCAGGCTGTCGTCTGCACCTGTAAAGTTAAACGATCCTGGAGGTTTATCGCAGTCCCCAAACGCTTCGTAGCCCGTTGCACTTTCGTAAGCAAAGAGAGAGTCGCGATTGTCCCGTATACACCAGTGCTCCTGACCGTACATGTGGGCATCACTAGAGTACCCTCCTCCGATTGGCTGTGGTAGCTGGTTACCAAAAGCATCCATCCATTCATTCGTAGCATCCCAATCGGGCTTCCCGAGAAGCCCAACCACAGTCGTGGTTTTCGGCGGTATTCGAACGCGAAACTTGAACCCACTGAAGTCGCCGTACTCAAGAAAAACTGCAGAGCCAGATTGCTTGTTGAAAATGCCAAAGCTGTTCGCATCAAGTTTCATCACTGTGGTGACATTATTGTCGTAGCCACTGTCAGGGTCGACGGCGTCCCCGCTGACTAAAACTCTGACGTCGGTGCTTTGCTTGAAGTCCACAAATGAAATCTCAACAACTCCACTGCCGGGACCAGGCAACACAGCCACACCCGTTACGACAGAGACACCAACACCAACCGGCTCCAGTCTTCCCTGTACTTCGAAGGCAGAGTCTAGAGATCTTGCATAGACATAGTCCCCAAAGCCTCCCACATAGTACGAGTAATCATCAAAGGTCGTGATGTGTGGACCCACGAAGGCTTCGTGACAAATCTTGTCCTGACAGGCGCACTCCGAGGCACAACAAAGATCGCCAGAACAGCATCCATCGACACGGCAGGATCCGTCAGGACACTGACCCTCACAGCAGCCTTCCCCGCAGCATTCGTCTACCGGAATGCAGGCTCCATTACAGCACTTCGTGCCAGGATCAGCGCAACAGCTACCACCAATCTCGCATCTGTTTTCGTCACAGCATTTTTTGCAAGTGCCATCGAGGCAGCGACTTTCACGCAGCGTGCGGCAGCATTCCGTCGCGGGATTGTAACACAGCCCAGAATCGATCTGGCCAAACAAAGGACAGCAAGCCTGCTGATCATCACAGAACGTTCCACCGTGATAGGCACAAATACACGACCCAACATGCTTTTGACCGTCGCTGCAGCAAACCTCCGTCGCCGGGTCAATACAGCCACACATCACAGTGTGCTTTCCAATGGATCCATTTCCCAATACGCATTCACCCTTGTTCTTGTTGACACAAGATCCATCGCCTGCAACGTCTCCACAACATTCGTCCTTGCCAATGCATTCACCGAAACAACGCTGTTCCGTGTCGGGGCAACAGGCCCCATGAGGTACACTGAAACCATTGTCACACAGGTGATAGCCCAACTTTGCCTTTGCCTTTGCGGGAACGAGGCATATCATTGCCAACTCCTCCAGGATCAAGTCGTCGTTGTCGAGTTTGTCTTTTTTGGCATAAGTTGCGTACGGGTGGCTAGTATCCTGCTGGAGCTGGTCGCCTCTGAGAAACTCCAGCTTTGATATCAGTTGGACATTTTGCATTCCAGCATCCAGAGAGGCTTGAAAGTAGTGGGGCCTGTCGCAGATTCCGAAGAGCTCCTCAACGTCACCAGACGTTATGGGTTGATAAGAAATACTGCTGTTGTCCCTTTTTTTGCCTCGGATGAAGTATCCCACGTTGGGCTTCACCACAACCTCCAACTGTTCCAGATAGGCTGTAATGGTTGGTTCAAAACCAACAAAGGCATCCAGATAGCTGGGAATAGCTTCTTCTTCTTCCATCACATGGAACATCAGTGATGAGCTGTTGCTGCTGTTCGTCTCCAAAACGTTGGCGACGATGATTGGACTGGTGTGTTGGACCGTCACGTCAATGGTGGATGCTGGATCGCGCAAATCCACCGACAAATCCCACCTCACGGCTCCATTTACTACTTTGATCGTTTGGCCCGTTATGGACATGTTGAAACTGGGCATGGATTGCATCATCGTCTTGAAGGTTGCATCCATTGTCAGCCGAAAGCTCCGGTGAATGCCCATGACTGGAAATGCCACTGACGTCTCCTCTAGTTCGAGATCCCGTTCCACTTGCAACAGTCCAATCAGTCCGTCGTGCTCTGCCGTGACGTTCATTTTATAGGTGTGCACGGAAAAATTGTAGTCGAGGTCCAATCCGACTTGTAGGAGATGGGATGGTGAGTATTGGATTGTGGCTGAAATGCGTTTCGAGGAACAAATGTGAGAGTGCACTTGCATGTCCAGGTTTGCTCCGCTGTTGCTGTCAGGGCCACTGTCTGCGGAAGTGAACTCGTTGTCAATGTTTCGGCATGGATCCGCATCCGAATCAATAAAGTAATTTGCCGGAATCGGTCGGATGCGCATGCTCAGTTCTTGAAACATATCAAAGAACGTCGTTGGGCGCCCGGAAAAGACAATATGATCGTCGAAGGCTACTATGTTCTCGATAACGAGAAACTTGTCCAACTCATCGTTCAGGTGTTCATCCTGGTCGTTTGGAAAGAAATTGCATCCTCCAAACATGTCCCCGTTGACAACTAAGGCAGCATTGATGGGTACCCGGTCGACTATGTACTCTACAGCCTCCACAGTCACGTTGGCATTGGGACGAAATTGAATGTCAACAGTGGTTGTGGCACCATTGTTACTGCACGCGACGAGGTCAATCATGGAGTAGATATTTCCCAACATGAAAAGTCCCTGTTCCCGCAGCGTCCCATTGGACTGGATGGTGTATGTCCAGTGTTGTTCCTGATCCATATTGACAGGCCAGGCGCCGGTCTCTTCTTGAAAAGATTGTCCTCCGGGCAGATATGCCATGGTCAAACGAGGAGTGGGGGTCGATGTGGGAGACATGGTAGCGGGTGGATCCGTCAAGGGCGCTGGCGTGTACCACGACCAAGGATACGGCGGCGGTACTGGGAATGCCTGACACAGAGCCCGACAGCACCGGTTATGGTCATCACATCGGACCTTTCCCACGTAATCATCTTGGAAGTGATTGGTACAGCAGGGAGGCTGGTAGCTTGGCTCGTGTTGGCACATGGCAATGCAGCAAATTCCGGTCGCGTTGCATCGAACATGCCCGGGAAAGTCGGACCACCGCTTGTCAGGACAGCACTCGGGTGAATAAATCATCATGGAGTGGTTTCTGGGCGCGTCGTGAAGTTGGCGTCGTAGTTGGTTGCTGACGGCATGGGTATCAGGGTCTGTGTAATCGGATCTTGATTCCTGCTGGACGAAAAGGGTACAGAAAAGGGCAACAAAGTCAGCTTCAAAAGGGACAAAGCATTGCCCAGACCAAGCACCACAGGGGTAACTTTCTATACTTCTGGGTGACCTCAGACTATCTCACGTACCTCGAAAAACTCTCTGTTGGTGCCATTGGTGGCAAGCCCATTGTTGTCACGTTGAAACATTCTTCCTCGCAGCCAGTGAACAGTGTTACGGCCGAGCGAACCGCTGCCACCCATAAACTGTTGCTGGGTAGATACCGGAACAACCAGCACCCAAAATAGGATCATTCTCATTGTCAATGATGATCTTGTGCTTCCTTCCAACCGGAAAAATGAGGTGGATCCAATCATTCTCGCCAAATTCACCGTTGCCTATCTTTCATGGAAACCTTTCGACGTCAACCCGGAGAGAGTCGAGTCAGGGACAACTGGAGAACGCAAGTGTGGTGTGAAGTGGTCTGATCTCTTATCTATTTCCTTTCTGTTGCTTGTTGTTATTCTATTTGTGACATCCAAAGAGCAATCAAAAGCGAATGTACATGTAACGAGAAATGATCAACCTTCTTTCTTGTTGTTGGTGTTCAGAGTTTTGAGTTCTCAGAGCCAACGGTAGTATTCCCAGTTCACGCATCTTTTTTATCGTAAGAAGTACATGGCAATTCGTACCAGCGACTGCATGAACCAGCCACGTCTCAAAGACCATCTCGGTTCTGTTAAATGAAAGATTTAATGCGAACACCCCGTAAGAGCCCTTACAAAATAGCCCAACAAAAAGCTTTATTTCCTCTTGAGATTGCCGTGATTGTATTTACAAATATTTTCCATGATCCAGAGATCCGGACAAGTAGATACCAGGTATTAATGCAGCAGAAGCGAATGATGAATCTATCTAAACAAGCAAGGGTCACTTTCCAAAGAAGGGTAGCTGAGATAATTGCCTTTGGCCGTCCAAATGATTTCATTTTGGAAATCACGTGCCTTCTGGCACCGCTCTAGCTACGGTACCGAGCTAGTTCGGGCCGCCCATCCACTGAGCCAGCAACTCGCGAAACCACTATTGTTCATTGTGTTGCAACCAACAATGCGAATGTGGTCTAGAACAGTCCTGGGAATCAAAACCTTGGGAAATGCACGAGGCACCAGACTAGCAGAACTGTGGCGTGGTGGGTTGACTCGTCGCTCACTCTCACTCAGTCAAACAGCCACAGTATTTTAGCACTCTCACTTTTTGCTGCATTTTATAATTGTTTCAGTGGCGAAAAAAGTTGACTACTTCGCTTCCTCCTCCTAATAATCATACCAGTCTTTAGTGTTCTGTGCTTGGGTGCCAGGCCCCATTTTCCTCCTCACTGGACAAGGCAAGTCAAACTCATTCTTATCCAGGCAACGGCAAACTTCTCAAAGCAGAACATCAATCAGTACAGAAGACTTGAATCTGGCTTCCCAGTGAGCACAAAGTATCGCTGTTCATCCTGATCACTTCCATTTCCATAATAGATCCGGTTGTAGAGGGATTGAACCGCCTTCATGGACATTTTCCTGATGTTGGAGATAGCTTTGGTGTGCCGGTAGCGACAACAGTCACAAGCATTTTGGTATCTTTAACCAGGTAGGTGTGGTAACTTTGGGGTTAAAGCTAAATATTTGATCTGGAGCTGTTGTGGGCTGGATGCATCTCATCATACCGGTAGATGTGGTAAACATTGTTTTCATGCAATTTATACTTATATCCTAGTGTTTACCTCAACTACCGTTGATTGTTTCACTCGTGATTGATTGAGATAGTGACCGATCACTGACGCACGCCTTTGAGAATGAGTCAAAGAATTCTGTGGCTTCGAACTCAGCGACCATGGCAACAGTGGTGGCAGGAGTTCAAAGTTATTGCGACTGCTCATTTTTCTCCCGGCCAGCGACAAATCAGGGCCTAAATTGGTTGCTTGTTCTGAAGAAAGGGAAATCCTAGTAGCTAGGCAACTCAAGAACTGAAATAAAGAGGATAGCCTCCAGCCAAATTTCTTCATTACCCCTTTAAACATCAAGGCAAGCCAAGAGACAAAAGCAACCTACCTGATGCCTTCTGTCACCGTGTTCCATCAAGTGTGTGGCATCACGTCCCTGATGATGCTGCTGTCGGTTTGGAGAAATCCTGGAAAAGTGTTGGTTCGTTCATTTTCCACGCCAAGGACGTCTTTTCTGGTCACCCAACAACGTCACCAGAGATGGGTATCTGCTTCCAATCGTCTCTCGGCGTCGGATGATAACACTCCCGAATGGACCACCGACAAGGTCCGCAGTGCTTTTGTCGAGTTCTTTGAAGATCAAGAACACACCATGGTCCCTAGCAGTGCCTGTGCCCCACTCAATGATCCCACCCTGCTCTTTACCAACGCTGGAATGAACCAATTCAAACCCATCTTTTTGGGACAAGCTGATCCCAATTCACCCCTGGCGTCCTTGACGCGAGCTTGCAATTCGCAAAAATGCATCCGAGCCGGTGGAAAACACAACGATTTGGAAGATGTGGGCAAAGATACCTATCATCATACCTTTTTTGAAATGCTCGGGAGTTGGTCGTTTGGCGACTATTTCAAAAAGGAAGCCATTGAATGGGCGTGGCAGATATTGACAGACGTCTACAAACTCAATCCGGATCAAATGTATGCCACCTACTTTCAGGGAAATGATGATGTGCCCATGGATACCGAGGCTAGAGATTTATGGTTGCAGTTTCTACCGCCGGAACGAGTCATTGGATGTGATGCCAAAGATAACTTTTGGGAGGTACGTGGCAGCATTGTCTTGGCTTGATTGATTGAAGGATGGATCCTGGACCAACCAACCAAGCTGATCTTATGTCATCTCGTCCTCTACCTCATTGCATTGCCTTCATTCATGGATCCTGATTTAATCAAAGATGGGAGACACTGGTCCTTGTGGTCCCTGCAGTGAGATTCATTACGATCGTATTGGCAATCGAGATGCAGCCGCCCTGGTCAATGCCGATCATCCAGATGTCATTGAAATCTGGAACATTGTCTTTATTCAATACAACCGAAACTCTCCCACCGATTTGGCTACCCTACCAGCACAACACATTGATACGGGCATGGGTCTAGAACGATTGGTTTCCATTTTGCAAGGCAAGTCGAGCAACTACGACATTGATGTCTTTACACCACTCTTTGATGCCATTGCCAAACATTCCAAGGTGGGACCCTACCAACGCAAGGTCCTGGAAGACGATGTCACGCTCCGGGACACGGCATATCGTGCCATTGCCGATCACGCTCGGGCACTATCCTTTGCCATTGCCGATGGAGCCGTGCCTAACAATGAAGGACGGGGCTACGTCTTGAGGCGCATTCTACGACGCGCCACTCGCTACGGACAACAAATTCTACAAGCCGAACCGGGATTCTTTGCCACCTTGGTCCCCGTTGTGGTGGATATCTTTGGAGATGCTTACCCGGAACTCCGACAGCAGCAGGCAACGATTCAAGAAATTATTGAGGAGGAGGAGCGTGCCTTTTCCAAAATGCTCGATCGAGGCATCAAATTCTTTAGCGAGTTGGAAGAAGAACTTAAAGCCGACAAAGCTTCTGTCGTGACGGGTGAAAAGGCATTCTTCTTGTATGATACACTAGGATTCCCCATTGATTTGACAGAACTCATGGCAGAAGAAGCTGGATTGAAGGTAGACTCCAATGGCTTTGAAGCGGAAATGACGGCGCAAAAGGAACGATCGCGACAAGCCCAAAAAGCCGCACGGGCTGGTGGAGCAACGCAGTTGGAATTGCAAGCGGAAGAAACGGCTCTTTTATCCAAATCGGGCATTGAACCTACGGATGATTCGTTCAAATACAAATGGGACGTTAGTCTACCAGCCACCATTATGTCCGTCTTTCCCACGGAGGAAGGCAATCAACGGGAAGTCAAAGCAGGTGACGTTGTAGGGTTGGTCCTGGACAAGACATCGTTTTACGCCGAAGCCGGAGGACAAGAGGCCGATCTAGGAACACTGGAGTTGCTGGGAGACGATGGCGAAACCGTGATTGGAAGGATCACCGTCACAGATGCCCAGGCTTATGCTGGGTTTGTCTTGCACACCGGTGTGGTGGATGACTTGCTGGGAGCTGAAAGCCTAACATTGGATCTGGGAGCCTCAGCCGTCAACTGCAAGGTGGACTATGATCGTCGTCGATTGATTGCCCCCAACCACAGCATGACCCACGTTCTGAATGCAGCCCTGAGGAGTATCCTGGGCGACGCGGTCGATCAACGCGGAAGTTTGTGCAATGACGAAAAGTTACGATTTGACTTTAGCCACAAAAAGGCCATGACGCCTCAACAGGTTCAGAAAACGGAAGAATACTGCCAACAAGTAGTCCAAAAGGCACAGCCTGTCACCAACAAAGTCATGCCCTTGGCCGAAGCCAAGGAAATTGATGGAGTAAGGGCTGTGTTTGGAGAAGTTTACCCCGATCCTGTACGAGTTGTATCGATTGGAGACGCTACATCTGTTGAATTTTGTGGAGGCACCCACCTTACCAACACTGCTGAGGCTGGCGCCTTTGTGATTGTGGAGGAGACGGCTGTTGCCAAAGGAATCCGTCGGATATCTGCTGTAACTGGAGAAATGGCAACTGAGGCAATCAAAGAAGGGGAGACGTTCTTGCAACAGATCGGAGAACTGGAGGGGTTTGATGCCAAAGACACGCCGGATCTCGACAAACAAGCTGGAGCACTACGAAAGGATCTGGATGAAGCATTCGTTTCTGCCTCTGTAAAAGCTGAAGTGCGTGGGCGAATAGAAAAGATACAAAAGAAGGCCAACGAAGTGAAGAAGGCGGCGTTGGCTCAACGTGTCGACATTGTATTGAACGCCGTCAGAGAAGAGGTGAAAGATGCTGTGGCGGACAAGAAGAAAGTTCTTGTCTTGAATGTTGACATTGGGGCAGACTCCAAGGCATCACAAAAGGTGTTGAATGATGTCAAGAAGGTCGCAGGAGGTGCACTGGCCTTCCTGGGCGTAAGTGAGGCAGAACCAGGCAGCGGAGGAAAGCTTTCAGCTTTTGCTATTGTTCCAGACTCGCTCGTGGAGGCTGGGTTGAAAGCAGACGAATGGATTCGAGCAACGCTGGAAACATGTGGAGGGCGAGGTGGCGGAAAGCCTGGCAATGCTCAGGGACAGGCGCAGGAATGTACGGATGTTGGCGCGGTTATAGATGCCGCCAATTCATTTGCAGAATCCAAGGCGACATCGGTGGCATGATAAGAAAATCATAGCTCTTTGATAAACTAAAAGCATGCATATGGAGATCGAGAACGGACGCGAGCGAGCGACAAATACGCGGTTTGTGCGAATAACCTGGTTGTCTCGCACTCACTTTCATCAGTGGCATCGAGATCTCATGTCCAATGGATGCTTGGCGTCCCGTTCCTTTGGAATCTGCTCGCCCTCTGATAGATTTGCCATGCCCTCGTTGTCCAAACCGTGCACCGCCATGCGGATGGTCTCAACTCGTACCAAGATCTGTGTCGTCCCGAGAAGGTGCGTGAAAGGAGCAGCACGCACGAACTCCTGCACAGAGGATGGAATCAAATCGTGTGCGGTTTGTCTCTAGCTAGCCTAGCTAGCTGCATGAGCAATCGACAGAAGATTCTTTTAAATTCTCAACTATTTGACACTATCGGGGGCACTCCATATGGGCATGACTGTGTCTTTGTGGAAGAGACCTACGTATCGCACGGCTTTCATGCTGATATGGATGATTGTGGCGGCAAAGCCGTAGAAGGTTTTCTTGTCGGTGAACTTGCATAGCTTTGAATGAGGACGAAATGTCGTAGAGACGAAGAGGCGCAACGTAAATCGGCTTCTGGGTGATCTCTGGACGACCATGATAGTAGAGCTGGCAGATGTTCCTCCATCAATGCAAACAGATGATTATATTCCATCGTGGTTTGGAAGTCCTTTGTTGGGATGTCATTCTTGTTGGAAAGGTCCTGGATCATGTTCAAGCAAGGCATTGATGACATTGCCTCTCAACTCTTCTATTTTGGCACGGTTGAACAAGGAAAGGTATTGAGCCTTGATGGTTTGGGAGCTTGGAAAGACATACGGCTGTGTCATTTGTACAGCTGCTTGATCCGTTCCATGGCAGGCTCCGACACATCAAAAATGGGCGAAATGGCATCCACACAATTTCGGAAGTGGGATGCTCCAGAAGCGACCACAATGATGCTTGAATGAATGAGTGATGGGAGAAAGGAAGAGATATGAGAGCACAAAATACGTAGTCCAAGCCACAACGTTACCCACCGTACAGGTACCAGGTACCAGGTACTACTACCGTATTATAACTACCAGTAATAATAAACGGGAAAGTTACTATGGGATAGAGAGAGCTAAGATGAGGATGGGGACAGAGGGGAGGGCACGATGCAGGAACGCAGGGCAAGCAATCAAGTGCGCAAGCAGGGCAACATGGAAACCAAGGAAAGGGGGAAAGGCAGGAGGGCAGCGAGGAGCGAAGGAGCAAGACTATCGGAAGAGATCGAGGGCACCACAGTCATCCCAACACTTGGAAACTTTGAGAGCTGGGACACGGGAGCCTCTGAGACCCAGTACAGTAGTAATAATAGATCGAGGAAACCTTGTCAGAGAGGTTGGCATCAAAAAATGGACTTGAATCAATCATTCAGTCACCTGTTACTCGGGAGTTGTTTGAATTTTCTTCTTCCGATCACTTAGAGAAGGTGTGCGCAGGCCAACTCCGGAGCGCTCCCGAAGAGTTAGAATGGAAAGCGCTCCGGAAAGGTTGCATATTTTGGTTAGAGAAGGGAAAGCGCTCAGGAAAAGTTGCAAATTTTGATTAGAGAAGGGAGAGCGCTCCGGAAAAGTTAGAAGGGAACCCTCCGATGTCACCCCTTGAGCCCTTTTCGTCCACTTTTTCTTTGGCTTCCTTCATTCTCAGAATTTTTGTTGCTGATGTTATTGTTGGAGATTGATCGTCAACGCAGCTAGGCAGCAGATAAGAAGTACTCCAGTTTATAGAAGTAACAAAATTGTTATTCAAAGGCATCTCCGCTCCAGACCATACGGTACTGGTACCGCTTAACGGAGCCATAGAGACCCATATCTCAGGTGTACAAGACACCCACAGATGAAGGGCTACCCGTGAGTCTTTGTGGGTGATGGAAATGGACCCTTCCTTCCCAGTTGAGTCAGACCCAACCCATCCATCCATTCCACATTCCAGTCATGCCTCTCCCTGCCTAATAAAAGCACGAACCTGGATTCGTGCGAACGAATCCAGGTTCGTGCTTGATGGAAATGGACCCTTCCTTCCCAGTTGAGTCAGACCCAACCCATCCATCCATTCCAGTCATGCCTGTCCAAGCCTAATAAACGCACGAATCTGGATTCGTGCGAACGAATCCAGGTTCGTGCTTGATGGAAATGGACCCTCCATCCATTCCACTCATGCCCATTCCGACCTTGGAGGAGCCCCCTCCCGCATGATCGATATTCAATGCCTGCCAAACAACACCAATACAGCCAACCCCATCCAATGATAATGCCAACAACAACAACCCTAACTCCTCCGATAATTCCCAGGCTGGAAATGGGACCAAGAGGAGGGCACACAATCCATTTTCCAACCCTGGAAGACGACAGAACCTGTTTCGTGCCAACCGCAACAACGGCAACCGTCACCCTGGAAGAGAGCCCGTCGACAATACCCGTAGACGGAGCTTATATCAGTGGTACACCCTTCCGAGATCGCTTCCACGAGAGAGAATGGAACTCATTCACGTTGGAGGGACCTATGAATCGGACATCATGCCTTTCTTGTGAAGTCAATGGCTCCAATGAAGCGGCCGCAACAAATTCAGCGGCTAGCCTACCAAATGCCCGCCGATGTGATTCTCCAGGCAAGCCATTGGCACAGATGGCGAAGGCCGCAACTGTATCCAACCGTGACCGCAGCACGGGACAGCAGCATGGAACGACGAACGAGGTTGGAATTGGCCCGGAAGGATGCTACGTGGAAGACTCGACAATGAGGTTGCCTCGAGCGGAGGCGCAGCCTCACGATGAGGCGTTGCCGTTGGGGGCTTACCAGAACTTGTTAGGCGTTGCTTCTGGAAGTAAGGTGTACTTGACCTGTGAATTCAACACAAACTCCTATTGGAATAGCTAGATCATTTGCTGTTCAATAAGGTAGTTTTATTGAGATTATGAGCTCAGGAATGATCTTGTTCTAAAGCTAAGATTCTCCTCTTGTGTCTGACTCTGCTCTATTGTGGGATAGAATCCATACAACTAGACAGCTAGCTGGCTTGATCTGTATTCCTGTCACTATAGATATACGGTAGGTTGGGCTGATATGAAATTGGATTCATCCAGCAAGTCCTTCTCGAACGGTCGCTCGAGGCTGCTGCAGGATGAACTCCAGCCGTCGTCGAGTGATTGAAAAGGCAACAGGAGCAAACTCGTTGACAACACACAAGAGATTGGATCCTCTCCGTGTTTGGTTGGCGATTCCTGTGTCTGTACCCGTAATGTTGGATACAGATCTGTACCATGACTTTCGACCTACTTCAATATTACTATAGTATATAGTACCTTCATAGAGCTTATACACAATTATAAGTACAACTCTTCGTTTCAGCCTGAAGTGATTGGCTTCAACGGAACTTGGCAACCCCAATGATTGAATCTGCAGTGGTTGCGGAATAATCACTGCAGTAGCATGTTTGGACTTTTGCTCCAGTTGCAGATGAAGATAGTGTTTCGGTGGGAGGATGTTGCAGCCGGTTTTCTGGCTTCAAGTTCTTCCTCCCCCGATGCGCTCGTCATTCTCAGTACCAGCTTTTCAACTGCGTTGGTGGGCGTTTTTGGATACGGGACGCCTCTGTAGGACATCGAATGATGCAGCTTTCCTCCTTGACAGTCATGGTATTGGCGACAAGCCCACAAAGTGAATTCTTCTTTGGTGGTTCACAATTCCGGATCAGGTTTCAACCCGGGTTGGAGTTGCTTCATCAAGATCTCCTTTGATTGCAAACGAAAGCGCACAAGCGGCCATATCCAAAGGTATCATGCCATGGTTTGATGGCCCCTGACGATTTTACCAGAGACTCCCTTCAATCTGAGAGTTGAGTCTCTAGCTTGGGAGGCCTGGACTTGTGTACGGTCCCGGTACGGTACGGTACGGTACTAGCTACCGGTAGTCTGGCAGGCTTCTTGCGTTCTTGGCCTGCTTCCGTGGGCGTGGATATTTTTGTGGTGCTGGGCTCGTAGAATGGAATGACGTCATAAACATGGCTAATTCAAATGCTGCAGTCACGAATAACAGCAACAAAAGATGCACTCCAACGAGCAACAAAAGCAACCACAATTCCGAGGAGCCAAGGACCCATTGGACCATCACAAGCAAGCAACAAGCCCAAGAGCAAGAGACCAAGAGTTCGTACAGAAGAATCTGGAAAGAAGTAACGACAGCCAAAATGGGTCGGCAAGAGCGATTCAATGATCTTCAAGCACGCGGTGTCTCTCCAGCTTTGATAGAGGAGATGGAGATGGCGCGCGGCGAAACCACTCAGGTGGGAGTGAGCATGGGCCTTTACTGTAGCGGTGGTGATGTAGAAATCTATCTTGATCATGAATGGAGTTCTGCCTATCCCATTCCGACGTTCGAGCTGCTAGAGAAAGTCCTCGTGGAATTGTTCCAAAAGCGATACAGAAAGTCCCTTTGCTTGACCTTTTCCGCTCTTTTTCACAGAGCCTTTCCTGGCGACGCATTTGATATGCCCGAATTTTGCCGGGTACTCAAAAGAGGAACAGACAAATTGGACGACGTCCACATTTGCTATATCGGAGGTAGAATTCTCGATGATGATTTGACAATGCTGTTGGACAACATGCAACACAACAACATGACCATTGGATATTTTGGGCTTGGATTTTGTGGCGACCTGGAGTACCCAAAGTTCTTTCGACGACTTCAAGAGCTAGATGTTGACTACTTGGAACTTTGGCGTCAATGTGATGAAGGTGAAAGGACGGAAACGGGAATGGAAATGACAGAAGCGTTTTTTGCCCAGCTTGGAGAGTTCATCCGTGGCTCATGTCACCTGGAAGACCTAATTCTGGCAGAGTTTTGTTGCCAAGAAGCGCATCACTGGGCACCAGTAGTTGCGGCCATTCAAGACCACCCGAGCTTGACTTTTCTTTTGATTCCTTTTCCCACTACTACCTCACCACCAGACGCACCAAACGACAAAGGTTGCAAATTCGCACCAGCGGTGGAGGACAAGATCTTGAATCGTTTGGCTATCAATCGGGCCAAGAAGGCTCTCCTTCTCGATGACCAGCAATCGCGACCTTCGTTGGAACAGTTTGTGGATACACTGGTCGAGAATCGGTTCAATGTCGGTTGTCTTGATCACATCCTTCGAAATGTGGATCCTCATGTCTATTCCCCGGCTGCAATCCAGGCTGCTCAATCCCATGCCGACAAGAAACCTCAACAAAACAAAGCCCACGTCAGCAAGGAGGAATGGGAGCTGGAGAAGCGCTTGGATCAAGAGATTCGCTCCAAGACCTTCCGTTACATGTCTGAGGGGGACACGGAGGAATACCTTATCATTGATGTTTGAAGAGCGGAGGGCTCTGGTGCTGGGTGACACCGGTGGTTTGGCTTGGTTTGGTTTGGGATTGATCGCTTGCGTGATGCTTGGTACGGGAAGTTCGGGCTGCCGTTTTTTGTTGGCGGGTGGATTCAAAGCTCTGTCCTTCTTTTGGGCTTTGGCTGTTCTTGGACACCGGTAGCTTGCTTGGGAGTAACAACCCTGTGGAAGTGATGTGCCTCCGGCTTGTGTGAGACTGCCGCGCCACACAGCCAACTGTTTGGTGTTGGAGCAGCAGCAACGAGCTAGCTCGTAGAGTTTGATATAAGAATATATAAGAAAGTGCAAAACTGCAATTCACGTTGTTGGTCTCGACGCCATCTGGGTACCAGTACCAGCCAACATGGAACGGACGACCCCTGCATCATTTCTGTTTTAGCTCGAGGGAGAAGGTCGATTGCGGACCTTTCTTCACACCCAAACCCAGCAGGGCGGCCCACAAAGAATGCGTGAGCTGTGATTCTGGATGGAGGCGAGTTCCGTCTCTAGCGGCGACATTGCTTGCTTCGGTCGCTCCAGTTTCTCCGAGCCTTGTATTGATCAGATGCATGTATGTAGTCTACATCATGCAGGATGCTTCGTTTACTGGCTACACTGTGTACCGTAGTATGAATTGTGAACGCGATGGGCCGTCGCTACACTCAGAGATGCTTGTGGACGCACGCTACCAACCAACACCACTTCCTAACTAGACTTTTGCAAAGAATGTGGGGGATCTATTTGTTCATAACTTGTGTGTGATCATCTGGGAACTCTTGTACTGACATGGCATGGCTAGCCAGCTAGTAGCTCTAGAGGTAAGAGCTGAAGCTGAAGGCATACTTTACAAGAAGAATCAAGTAGTCCTTCAAGTCAAAGGAAACTATCGCTCAATCCAGTTCAGGAAGATGCTGATTGCGAGAGAGTCCGATGCCCAATGGTAAATGGAGCCAAAAAGAGTGATTGATTGGCCCATTGATCCTCACCATTCTTCCTAAGCTGCCTTTTATCATCTCGTGCTAGCTAGCTAGACAGTCAGATGGTTGCTGCCAACGTAGGCTTGGTTCCACCATCCACTTGTACATTTTGTTGTTGTCGTTGCTGATTCAAACCATCCAGTGGGATCATGTTGGTGGGTGGTTCATGTCGCAATCGCATCCGATGCCAATTGTCCTTGAGGGTGCACACGGAAGTGGCATGGAGGAAGAAGCTTTCGGCACTACCTCGACCAGTTTTGCTGGTGGCCAAAACATTCCCTTGGAAAAGGTGGCTGTCGGCAATGTGAGCATCAGTCAGAAGCAAGATGGAGTCATTGTCATTATTGTCAAACGATTTCCAGTTGCAGCTAAAACCCAGTAGTTTCAAATTTTGAATGCGTTGTCCGGGTGGCTGCAGTAGATCCAACTCGTAATAGAGACCTGCCGTGTGGGGGTAGGCATCGAGGTTGCCATGGACGTAATAGTCTACCAAACCTTGTTCCAATGCTCTCTTCAACGCCCTACCTGTCACTCGAATGGCCACCAATTCATGGTTTGCAGGCAGCACTCGCAGGGCATCTTGTGACGTGAATTCTCCTTGTCGAATCGAAGCCTGACATGTCCCGGATGTCAAAAAGGCTCCATCCAACATGCGCCAATCGGCATAGAGGCTTTCAATGACATATGCACACACGTTGCTTCCATTGTCAGTTGGAGGACAATCCTCCTCATCCTCTGGCTTGTTGTGGCAAATGGGTTGAGGGGCCCAGGCGGTATCAATGGAACAATGGGTGGGACCTTTGGATTGTTGTCGATCCATTCGAAGGGGTTCGATGCAATCTTTCATGGAATACGAGGGTCTCGCATAATATTGGCAAAGGAACAAGCCAAGGAGGAGGGATCGTCGTGTGCTGGTCCGTGCTGTCATGGTTCTCTTGATGATGGTGCTCCTTCTTAGTTATGGTTGTGAAATGATCAAATGAACTCCAACAAAGCAAAGGAATATTGCAACAGAATGGTTATGCTGGACACCTATTTCCCCCTTGGATATCTTTTCCCTTGCGCATATCTTTTATTGCCAAGCCACGACGATGTGTCCGAGTTGGCATCTTTGCCGTTGGCGTTTCTAGCTGGAACCGTCCTCTTTGCCGTTGGTTTCTCAGCCGCACGATGCCGCCAATCATCATGGTGTCCTTCTCAGCAAGCAGCTGCCAATCAATCATGGTGTCCTTGGTGCTTCTGCATTGGCACGATGGGGCTACAGCTGCTCTCTTGCACCGACGCAATAGACTGTAGCAATTGTACTTCCATTGATGAGTGGCTGGCCTGGACGCACAAAGAAACCAACAAAGCGGGGGACGAAGGAAGCAATGACAGCGGACGTGAAAAGCAATGCAATATTATTATTATGTTGGGTCAAACGAGGCTGTGCTCGGTGCAAGGACTGGACTCAACGACTCAACCACATTATCACGTTGACTTTCCACAGCTCTTTCCACCCAGCTTCTCTGTTTCTTCTTTTGCGAACAGGTGCGGTACATCTGGCGAGAAGTGCGCTACAGTACTTGCTTGATCATAGTCTAGCTAGTAGCTAGTAGCTAGCTAGCTACAGCCAAGCTCTACGGGGTGGCCACTAGCCAGTTCGGGAGACAGGAACGCTCCACTGCCCGCAACATCTTGGTTCGGATCCGATCCATTGGACTTGTCTAGCTAGAGGATAGACTACGGTACGGTTCCACCCTTGCGGACCAACTACGAGTTCGCCTCGAGTGACCCCAAGCTAAGCAAACTTCTGGAGGTGTAAGATACGAGGGCCTACGGTACATTTAGGTAGGTGCTGTACCGGTAGCTACCGAGTAGCACAACGGCAGATGGATACATGTAGCTAGCTAGAATGTATCAAAGAAGAAAAGATGATGTAATCGTTATGAAATATGCAATTTATCATGCAAAAAGTTTAACAATGATACGGAGAGGAGGTAATGGTAGGTAGATAGAAAGAAGGGAAGAAAGTCGGGAGGAATGGAACACAGTGGCCTCTGTTGGTGCCACAAAAGAAAGTCGGAAGAGATTAGGCAGCCCCCGCTGGAAGCTTGGAGCAATACCCGGTCATGGACATGATTGTGGTATTGAGAAAGAATTCCTTGGCACATTCTTGTGCTTCTGGTGTGGTGAGTGTCTTGCCCTGATCTTGAATGACTTGTAGGAGCTGGGATTGTGCCTGTTTGGCATGCGATCGATGTCCCAAATGGAGAAAGATCCATGCCAAATTGTTCTTGGCGACCATGGCAAAATAGGCCAAGTCGGCGGCCTGTTCCGTGGCGTCGTAGAGATTGGAGATTTCCACGTAGAGATGGAGGGATCGATGAAAGAGGTCATTTGCCTTCAATTGGTATTCCGGTCGTTGCTGCAGACAAAAGTAGCGGCCCACTTTGTAGCATGCCAGCGACGTGTTCATCAAGACGACCGCCAAAAAGAAACGCAGTAGTTGACTCACGCCGTCCAGAGACATGGCATGAGCGAGGGCGGCTGGCTTCAAGTAAATGCCTTGACGGCAGTAGAAAAAGGTACTGTCCACCGTCGAGTCGGTCAAGGCGGGCACTGGAACGGTACAGAAACAGCAGACGTCGTCGACCGAAGGACCCATTGCTGCTGGCATGGCTGCTCCAAAGAGATTAAAATTGCTCTTGCGGTCCAACTCGTCAATGGCTGCCAGTGCTTGGCGGAACAAGTTCATCGCTTGACGGGCCAATCGTTCATTGGACGATGCCAGCATTGCCGTACCTTCATTGTTCAGGTGGATAATGTATTCCAAATTAGAAACAGAAATCATCTTGCTTATTAGTTGATAGTAGTTGAAGTGCTCGGTAGAGGGGTGAAAGTAGAAGTGTTTCAAAGAGAGAAACTGTTCGATTTGTGAGCTTATTGGGTTGGGTAGCAGGGGGTAGCTTTTGGGTAGCTTCTGGGTATCTCGACCACTTGATCTTTTGAAGTGAGCTACTACCGATAGTAGCGAGCTAGGCTTGATCTTGGCAATTTGGCAAAGAGGAAAAGAGAGGAAGGAAAAGACTGTGGCACAGCTGTCGCGGGGGAAAAGAAAGCGAATGAAATAAGGGGGCAGCTACCTTCGACGAAACATCAGGGGCAACCAGCGTGCAAGTCAGTAGCCATACCTACAGGACCAACGAATGTGCCGGTCAAAGCGGACTTTCTTGTCTTTCCATCATCTATCCTTCTTCACCTTTTCGTCATTCACGCTTGTTAATGCTCGATGCCAACCCTTGTGGCTATTGATCTGTTCTTTCTGCAGCACCCTCTAATACTTTATTTGACCTTCTTTTCTGAAAGGCCAAATTCGAACCACGAATGGTACACGCTGCAAGTTTGCGAAGCCTCAAGACTTCTCTCAAAAATCAGGTTCTCATCACTATCCAAAAGTTTCCAGTCAATGTCATAATGGACAATGCTCCTGGTTCTGACCACCATCTGTTCCAACTTCACTGACATAATGCTGTCCTAAAGTCCGTGATTCCAAGCGAATTAGTACCACAGGTTCTCACACTTAATCCAGCTTGAAGTGGGTCAGGGGTCTTTTATCAAGGGCTACGCCCCAGAATGAAACTCTCCCCCAGAGAACAACTCGGCGGTATCAAAGTCAACCTAAAGCCTGACTACGAGATGACTGTGGATGCGCTGCTAGCATACGGTACCGTACTTCAACACGTAAAGCCTAGCCAGAACTCGCTACTAGCTAGCCTGTGCAATCTTTGTGCCTTTGGTTCTTGTCCTGTTAATTGTCTGAGCTATTCCGAGTACTTATAAAATTAATATTTTGTTGCGTAAACCACCCAGCTTTTCGTACCGGTCCACTTGTACAACTACCGGGCTACCGGATAGCTATCTACAAGCTACGGTAAGCTAATAACACCACCACCATGGTGGTGATACCGAAACATCGATGGTCAGTAGCCACGATACCGAATACGGACAATCTACCTGTATTGTAAACGTAACAGTCTTTTAGCTGGTACGCTAGCTAGTACCGTGCTGGTCAGGGTATTAATTTTGGTGATTTGATGATGGTGGCAGCTATGGTGGTGGCAAGGGTTGAGGGTTGGCTACCAGAGAATGCAAATCTTCCCCCGCCAAGCCCAGTAGAACTAGAACAAATAAATAACTCCAGTACAGTATCCTGTAACAGCTCAAAAGTCAACACAGAGGCTGTGAAAGCTCCTTGAATGACCAGCTAAACTACAGATTAGTTCCAACTCACGGAACACTCACTTGGCGACATGGCGATGGTTTAGCGCTTTTGCAGTTGACAGTTGACAGTAACTAACTGTTGACTGTTGACAGGGATAGAGAAAAGGGTGGGGGGGGGGCAGACAATAATACATGTAATTTATCGCTGCTTTCTTCACTCCCACATTGCGCAAGCTTTGTTTCGCATCATCTCTCTTTTCATGAACCGGTTGCATCCTACCAAGAACCCACCAATACCTAACATGTAATTGCAAAAACAGCACAGAAACAACCAAGATTCAGCCCCCACCGTACCAATAATACCGTACGATACGCAGCGGAGGCAGCCATCAATAATTCAATGCCTCAATGCCCTCGATCTAGTAGTCTAGTGTCGCTCGGGCGATCAATCCATTTCTCCTCTTTTCTGGCTACCGATAACCATAAAGGATTATAGATCTGTGTCTGGAGCTTTGAGGGGCCCCAGCTAACGCTTCCAGTTGCCAGAAGAAACTAGTTACATGTAGTACTAGCCTACAACTTCTACTCAAGCTGCCTGGATCCTTTATTGCTTGCGCACTACTAAAGCAGTAGTTAGACTTATGGCTTTCAAGCTTTCAAGGGCTCGAATGTTCTGGAGGTGAGGAGGAGCTTGGTCGCGGAATGATCTCGAGTTCTCTATGCCTGGATGGTGTTAATGGTAAGAAGTCCAACTTTTAGAAAGTGGCAGCTACCCAGTAGTGAGGAGTGTGGAGATGTTGAGTCACAGAAGGAGCCCAAGAGGACATTACAACATCAATGAAAGTGAACTGATTTCTGGCCAGTCCTTTTGGAGTTTGGAGTTTGGAGCCACATCTCGCTCGAGTCTGATCTTAGAACTTAGAAGCCCAAGATTGCCAACAAAGACTGTCTGTGGGCACTAAACGTACTGTACGAGTACCGTCACTCGAGAAACTGGCTTAGCATCCTTTTATTGCCTTTTAGATCCAACTAATCAGCAACAGCTTGCAGTATTGCAGAAGGATACCGGTACCTATCTTGTCGCAATAACGGTGTTTGGGGGAGCATGCTTCGTTGTTCCTTGTTGGAGAAAGAAGTAAGATCTTTCGATTTGAGCCAAGAGCGAGAAGCAAGATCTCTTGCTAGCTAGAGTAAAGTGACCAAACTCAGTGTACCTCTCATCAATACGCAAGCATTCTACGATCGCAGCTACAAGTAGTCTTGGTGCTCTGAGTAGCAACTAGCTAGCTAGCAGGCTAGATGCAGTTGCTCTCAAATCGCTTCTCAAGCAAAGCTTGTGTTGAACGTGGATCTTGCTACCACTGGCAGGTACTAGACTACCCTGGCTGGTAGTGCGTAGAGGATCTATCAAAAGGTTTCATGCGGGAGTTTGTCCGAGCGAGCGAGAAAGAAGCAGGTTCCCGATAGAGTCTTGTCACGTAACTTTTGAAGAAGCAGCGAAGCTCCTCGGGCCAGCTCGTAGTAGATCTCAAGGCAAAAGTAGAAGTGCTTTTCCGCTGCTTCTTCAGACGTCACGCCCCCTAAGAAAGACAGCTCGTCGTATGATACACAGCGTACGGCAGCGAAAACAACATGACATTAGAACACCAGATCACCCAAACCCACCCACCTCCACTCTTTGGCTCTACAGGTACGATGTACGTACCACTAGCTAGAGCTACTAGATTACCACGTAGAGAGTACGGTAGTAGCCAGCCAGATCTAGCCAGTAGTCTAGCCAGTCTACTCTACCGGTATGGCATAGCTAGTAGTAGCTTGTACGTGTACTCGGTAGATTCGATTGATTCAGATTTCATTCCCACTCCTACACGCCGACCGGTGGCGGAAGGAATGATGATGGTCACAATAAAGTTCATGCCAGCAAAAAGAAGCAAGCCAAGACCGGGTTGGCAAACAGAGCTGTTATGTGAAGCGAAGTTGCAGGATCTTTGAAGTTGCAGCGGCATCTTGCCGATCCCAGTTTCCGCTTCTCCCAGATTCCAGGTGCCTTCTTTTTCTTCTACTAGTTTTGAGCCCCCCGTGGTTGTCATGTCAACAGCGACAACATGGTTGCTGGAGTGTGGAGCACATGAGCAAGCATGTTTGTGCTGCTCGTGTTCTTCTACTAGTACTAATCAATTCTTTTTCTATTACAACATGACCAGCAGCCCAAAGAACGATGCAAGCAGCACGAACTTCTTTTTCTTCATGGTATGCACTTCCACGAGAACCGCACACCGACCATTGCTGTGATTCAAAGTCAAAGATCTTCTTGTGCCATCTTCTCCGTCTCCCAAACATCAAACCTACCCTGGGTATATCCAAAGAGGTTGCTCCCAGCGAAAACATGAAGGCCCAACCATATTTGATGACATGATAATCAACACAGGCAACATTTCCTGGCTGGGCAGCATTCAATGCTAAAATGCAGCAATGGCTAGTTGTTTTTGTTGCTTTCAGACGCCTATGAACGGCACAGAGCTTGCCACTGCCAGTCGGTCGCTCTCTCCCCTTTACATCCAATGCCCACGAAGACTCATGTCATGAAATCTTTGTAAAGGATGAGCGCGTGGCAACAATGAAAGAGGGCGAACAAGTATCCATCCATGATCATGGCGATTGAATCATTCATCCCAGTGCGGTAGGGCACCCTGTGGTGAGGGTGTTGGGTGCCGTGTATTATTTGCAGTCCGATCCGTACATGTAGATCAAGCTTCTGACAACAGGTTCTGGTTTGCATTGGAATTATTGGAGATGTTGAGAATGGACAATCTCCTCGGAGGAGCATACGTACCGGTATGGCTTATTGGACCCCTACTAGTACTACACGTGTTGATTAGGTCGACGGTGTATGATTCGGCTCGAGAGATGTCGGGCTTTTTCTTTTGGTGATATGGGGAGTTGGATGAAAGAAAAAGGTACCATAGCAGCTCTATAGCTCCTACCTACCGGTACCTCCATACCTACCGGTACAGTCCAAATCACCAACTCGGTGCTTTGCTGTTCCTAGCTAGCCTCCTAGCTAGTCAGCAAGCCAGAATAAGCATTTATATTTTCGAACTACCAGTCTGGAAATAGGTCTACAGTACTTCCTTCAGCGTAGATCTAGTCAACAGTGTTCACCACACTGGATCTGGATGTACAAGGGTGGGTGTCTGGTGTGGTGTTGGGTGTGCCGTGGTGGTTGGTCGTATGTAGGTCTCCTGATTGTTAGCAACAATTGTCACGTGTTAATTAACATCGGTACCTTTCTGTGGCAGATAAAGAGTTGTGCCAGTCTCAGCGTCAACTTTTACTCTGTGTCAAATACCAGTGGACCGAAGCCAGCCTGGAACCCTCTCTGCATGGCAGGAATTATCCCATTGCTGCTGGCCACCATCTGCCTCATTTTCGAACTCTACAATCCCACACCATTCTTGTGCTACGTCATTACCTACCCCGTTGGTTGTGACCACTATCCTGATATCCCCTGCATTAGAGGCAATCATACCTGGATGTGGCGCAGTGTGGCACAGATTGTGTCATTTTCCATTTGCATGCTGACCATCATTTGCAGCGTGGCCGTTATTTACAAAACGGTACGAGAGCAGGAACGAGCCATGGCACAATACTCGTCGGAATGGGTCCAACGAAGGGCACGAAACAGCCGACTTGCACTGCACAAGGCTGCCGTCTTTATTGGCGCCTTTTTAGTGGTTTGGACACCAGCGCTGTTGGTTGCACTCTGTGAAGATCTCGGAGTAAAGATACCCTTTCCTATTTGGCTCATTGATGCCTTTATGATACCCCGGGTGTGCTTGCTGTGTGGTCGACAATGCCGTGGAATCCGTCAGAAGTTCCGTCCAATCGGTACGAAAGACGACCAACAAGGCCATGCGGTCAGGAGTTCCGTCATGTCACGACAAAGTGGCAGCTCTCTCATGAGGTCGTCCGAATTGACACCCAGAGGCGGTCATGGAACGTCTCTCAGTCGATCGTTTGGCACATCGGGAGGATCTTCGTCTCACCAGTTCCGTGATGAGGATGGCAACGGTGTAGAAGACAAGGAAGAGGAAGAAGAGCAGCCCAATACATTCGATATTTCCGTCAATCATTTGTCGCACGATGAGAATGGATTGGCAGACCTTACGGAGGCAAAAGATTTGAGTAGTTCGGCAGAGATCCTTGCATTGGAGACGATAACTACAATAGCACCAGTTGACAGTTACAACCAACTCGGAAGCTGTGGAAGTGGACAAAGGTCAAATTTGCGGCAATCTAGACGACAGTGAAAGAAACGAGGAGGAAACGAGCGTCAGTCAGTACATGGACGAAGATTGTCGTGGTGATGCAGACCTGCCTCTCCGATGAATGAGATGTCACTTTACCTATTGGTTCTTCCTTGCAAAAGGACCCGTCATCTGGCGAATGAAGCTCCGGATCCAAGCAACAATTCGTTTCATCGTTGTCAAGAGCTGGGGATCAATTAATAGGAGGGCGTGTAACGATCGAACTCGACAAAGAGCTTATTGACATGACTGTTGTGTTCAGTGGGTTTGGCGTGGAAGCTTTGCCTGACTTCGCGGATCAAGGGGGGCGAGCGGCGAGGCCACTGACAGCGAAAAGCCCAGGCTATTCGATTTTGCCGCACTGAGGCACGGGGCAGGTTCTGTCGGGCAGCCGATGGCCCTGAGTAAAGTAATTGAGTCTGGGCATGGGCATGTTGATGTTCATACTTTCAGCTTTCAGGCGACAGCTCTTCTCAGGCGACATGGCGACAAGATTCTGCATGGGAACATCTAGAACATCCCCGAATGATATCCTCGGGAAAACTTTCAGTTCTCGCTGTATGCAGGTTATCGAGAATGCAGCGGCAATGTGGGCTTGTCAATATTTTAAGAGCAACAGGGTCTGTGGGCTCAGGTCGAAGAAGGACGTAGTGACATGGACACAAGCAATGGTTCCTGATTGGTGGGTGCCAGCTGCTGCCCTCCACGGGAGTTCTTGGCGAAGCTGGCTGAAAATGCCCCTGAAAAGTAAAACCGAATGGACGAAGAATAGGGAGTGGTTGATGGGCTTCGAGGCATTGATTCCTGGTGCTGGCTTTTATGACCCGCTTGCTAGCTACTCATATGCATACATGTGCTACTAGCTAGCTATATGCACTCAGTGGCTGGGTGTGTTATGACGTTATGACTTCAGAGCCTCTCTTTTGGATCTACGGCCAACGTGACACAGGTGCGAACTACAGGAAGCTGGATTGATTTGCAACTCGATTTGAACACAGCAACCCGAAGCTGCCAGTCGACCTAGCTTTTTGATTGCGGCTACATGTACGCATTATGTAGTAGGCGCATTAATTGTTACGGTACCGATGGACCGGATAAAGCTGCATACTAGCTAGTACTGTAGCTCTAGCTAGAGACTAGTAGTACTGATTACTGATTTGCTAGGGCAGACTTGAGTGGTCACTGGATGACCATTGCATTGACGAGCGACAAAGAATCACCAAAGAATCGCCCCTGATCTCATGATTGCCACACATATTTCTTTTGCGACTGAGTGAGAATTGGCTTGGCAGCCTCCAAACCGGTATTGTCCTTGATTATATCATACTACATATGTACCGGTCTACCGGTCCGTAAGCGGCAAGCGGCATAGCGGCATCCATTATTTTCGGAAATCCAGGGAAGCCTTGTCTAAGCCAGGTAGTTATGGTATTTCCAAAATAATTTGTTGCAATAAATTACCTCCACTCTCCATCGAAGGCAAATGCACTTTTCGTGACCTCTGATCTACAGCGGCTAGAACCAGAATGGTTTGCATGAGATGACCCGGTTCTTTTCTATTTCGGGAAATCTCTCCAAGAAAAGCACAACAGGCAAGTGACAGCCACCAGCGTACACAGCGTACTGTACCTCTTTTCACGGAAAGCTTTTTTTTCTCTCACAAAAGCACACGCCATTACTTCGCAATCACAAACAAAGCAACAGTTACTGTCAAACATTTTTGAGACGGAGATCATGGCCACTACCACGATGAACAGCAACCAACTCCACCAGCCCTCTTCTGGGAGTCGCCAGCAAGCATACATGTACCTCAATGACCAAGGCATTGGTCATCTTGCGCGTCACGACACTCAGGCCGCCCTTGCATGCTTCACGAGAGCTTTAACCATTGTCCAACAAGGAGTTGCGACGGCCCCAGTTGCCAACGAAGGTTCCATCCAGTCTCCAGTGTGGCTCTCAGTGTCGATTCAAGGGCTCAGTGACGATGAATCTGGTCTCTACATCCACTGCGAAGCCTTGTCTTTGCAGATTGGCACAGATGGCAGTGACTCTGTGCAAACTCACAGCATGGCTGCTGTGGCTATCCTCTTCAACCTTGCTCTGACCTATCACGTCCACGGTGTCAAGCACCAAAAGATGGCTCGAATTCAGAAAGCCTCCCGCCTTTATGAACTCTGCTCTGGAGAGATGATGTCATCCCCTCACGTTGACCCAACATTGTGTTTGTTTGTCAGCATGGCATGCCTTAATAACAAAGCCCAGATCCAGTACCAGTATCTGGGTAGCAAGGCAAATGCTGCTGAATTGGCCTGCCAGCTTCAACAGCAGTTGGAACCTGTCCTTACTGCTGTTGACAACGAAGGCAACCTTTTGAGCCACACGTACTCACAACTCGATGAAATGTTCTTGAACGCTCAAATGCTCAGCCATGCAGTCTGCATGGGAGCTTCGGCTGCTTGAGGTCTGGTATCTTGAATGTTTTACGTTGCAGCCTAGCTCCGTTGAACAATCAAATGAAACTTGTCTCTCCATCTTCTACATGCAAACAGATTAACTATTATATGAAGGATACAATATCCCCTCCCAATATCGTTATCATACTAAAAGAATTCGCTCTGCCATGAACTACTACACAGTGTAGTAGAGATAGAGCCAGATCGGTGTCGCTCGCTGGAGAACAGTCTTGGGCCTGTACATTGCATTTGCAGACGGTTGTGTGGTTGCAAGCGAGTGGTCATGGATGCATGGCTGGTTTTGCTCACATCCCTGTATACTAGTACTCTGCCCCTTGGACTATCGAGTGGCAATCATAACCACCTATTCGGTGTATCTGGTACCTGTGTGCTGATGTGCGTTGGCCTCAACTGCGTTCATCACTCGTCCCTCGAGTCACCAGTCTCGTATGAAGAGACGCCGACTTTAGTGCTGCAAATTTAAGATGAGGCCAAGACCTGCCTGGGCTTAACTGCAACCGTACGGTTCAGAAAAACCTTCGAGTGCCAGCGATGGTACCTTTGCTGCACCGCCCTTGGATGCATGTGCACTTTCGTTTGTCAACCTACGTTTGCGCCTTCTGATCGTTAGGCTGCAAAGAGACTGAGATGTAAACAGCTACCAGCAATATTGTTTTGGCTGTGCTGGGAGTAGGCTGGTTACTCGGTGCTCTGTTGTTTGAATACCAAATGACACAAGTCTGAATGCAACATTGTGTGGGCTGTTGTGGTCCAGCCAAGCTAGCTTGTATCCAGATCTGACTCATTCCTCAGGTTGCCCGTCCATGTGTTCTCCTCCAAAAACAGGAGCTACATGTAGCCAGAGAAGCTTCCTGTTTGCGTACAACAGACGACTCCAATACCGCTGGTCATGTTGCCGACGAAAGTGGAAAAGGACGTTGCTCCGATGAAGCCCCAGCTCACTATACGTACGGAACTCTAACGATAGGGTGAACAAGCCTATAGCTAGCTAGATGGACTGCTCTCTTTACCAGCAGTGAAGGAATAACCCAATGCAGCACCTGCTGTACAACTTGATGCCTTGAATTTGCTTTTGTGTTTCTCGCTTGTACTATTGATCTACCCCTCCTTCGTTTTATCAGGGGCTGCCCTTCTGGCAATCATCATCTATTCTGCAGCTTCGGTAGTCTCTACAACATAGGTTCTCCTTCTTGTTTCGTGGTGACATCTCCTGCTTCTTCTGAACTTTCTTCTCCTCCGACCTCTGGCTCCGCATCTGCATCTTGTGCTTCCTCTTCAATTTCTACCCCAGCATCTGGCTCTGCGTCCTCAATCGGGACTTTCACTTCAGTTACATCTTCTGGAATGGCTTCTTCTGTTGTTTCTGATTCCTCGTTTTCTATAATCTCGGCCGCTTGTTCAACGGGTGGCTGATCAGCAGCTTGGTCTGATCCATTGCCACCACCATCAGTGGTCTCATCGTCATCCGCGTCACTACTAGTCGTAGATTGGGAGGGAACCTGGATTGGCGTCATGTATGCTTTGACCAACTCATCCGAAAACGCCCAAACGTCATCTTGGAGCTTTTCATCCAATGCCATGGGATTGACGACTTCTTGACTCTGCGGATGAAAGTACCGTCCTCGAATGTCATTTTTGCTAGTACCAGTCGCCAAATAGAGTCCGGTCAATGCCCCATCTGGGGACTGCCACGCCTTTTGTAACATGTGCTTGAGCATGACTTGTTCCCATCCTGCCAACTGATCCGAATCCGCCATGCGTCCCACTCCGGGAGTATGCGTCAGTCCGGGATGAAAAGCATTCGCCCTAATTTTGGATTGTTCTGGTTCCAGCAGTCGCGTCAATTTTTTGACCCACAAGATTTGTGCCAATTTGGATTGTCCATACGCGAGATTCAGCGCACTATTGCTGCCGCCACCCTCAAATTGTGGTTCACTGCATCCATGCAGTGTTTCGAGATCGGTGGCGACCTTGTATGTGAATGAGACAAAGCTGGATGCGGAGGATGTTTGGACAATCTTGGCGTCCTCCGACAAAAATGGTTTCAATAGATGGTACAACAAGTGATGACTCAAATAGTTGACCTGGAAATGATAGTCCAGTTGATCCGCCTCTGTCTTGGTAGGACACTTGTTGTATCGATCCGTGGAACTCGCGACACCGGCGTTCAGAAACAGAAAGTCAATGCGTTTGTCGTTGCCATGCTCACTGATATAGGCTTCTGCTAGTGCCCGCACAGACGCCAGAGATGCCGTATCCATTGTCATGGTAATAATGTTTCCTTTGATGGGCGTCTCTTCTTGTAGTATTTTGGATTTGGCATCGTGGCACTTTTGAGGATTTCGACACAACATGACGACATCGGCTCCTACTTTGGCAAGAGAGCTGGCGAGATCCAATCCAATGCCCGAGTTGGCGCCCGTTACCATGGCCGTCTGACCGGTCAAATTTTGTTGATAAAACTCGTCCCAAGTGAACCCCCAAGGAATTCCATAGGTGAGTGCCGGCGTCAACCCCACCGAGGGGGGATGGAAACTCGCCAGGGCACTGTAGAGACCGAGTTCTGTGGGAATGGATGTATAACCAAAGATCCCCACCACTGCCGCAATCAAGGCAACTACAACAGCGACCAACATGTTGAATGAACTTGAATATTAGGAGGAGGAAGTTTACTATTACTATATATCATGCAACGAAGCAACGATGATGGTAAAAGAAGACTGTAAGCTGCAAGCAAAGGTGATGGGTGACGAGCCTCGAAAAGAAGAAGGGGTGCGATTTGGATCTTTCTCCCAAAAGATAGATCCAACGGGATCCATCATTCGTGCTTGATGACAAGACGGATGTCGTCATCAAGAGGTCGACTGAGTCAATCATTGGTAGCACAGCTACTCCAATGTCACAGAAGGCATGCAACTTCCGGAAACGAAAGACCATTCGTGCCGGTTCTGATTTGACGCCCAAGAACACCCAAAGAGAACAGAGCCGAAAGAAGAAGAACCAGGCGTCAAAACAAAACAGGTCGATGCAAGCACAGCACACAATTCTTTCATCGAAACGATCATATTCTTCAACCACAACACAGCAACAAACAGTAACTTACCAGACAACATAACCACAGCCACACCATGAACTCTGCAGCACCCCGTCTCCGTCCTCTCATGACCCGCGCCATGGCAAGACCAGGTATTGCCAACATGGCTCCCAGAACGTTCGCTTCGTTTCCCACCAATTTTCCTGACACGACAACAACAACCACCATGACACCACTACCCATTCAATTACACGCCACGGCAGATTCTTCCATTATGAACCGATCGGCATTGACCGACGCCGTAACAAAAGCAGTGTCGTCGATTGGTGGTGTATTAGCTCAAACCAAGACGGATGATCCATCGGAAACCAAATTTGTCATGGAAAATGTCGGTTCCGAACAATTGGCCGTCTTGCACAGTCTACTGGAATTTTCGTCGCTGAATTGGACTCAATCCACACAACGGTTCTTGGAGAACTGTTATTTTGCACTAGTGGGAAGTAGCGACAGCCTAGAGACCACCACCACCACAACAGCAGTTCTGCAACTCAACTGGAGCTGAGCTGAGCTAGCTGAGCACACCTTGTGGTCTGCGCCAGTCCAGTCTACTAGATAGCTATAAAATACAAAATATACTATAGAAGTCATACAATTCCATGCTTTGTATCTTTTAAAATGATGTATTCTACGATTAATATCTGGTTGAGCTCATGATCAGACCACCGCATAGCTCCGATCATTCTCCTCCGCTTCCATCCATCTCTCGCTCCAGATACCTACCCTCGACCACCACCAACCCCACAAAGAAACAATCCGCCTACAAGCTGTCTAGCATGGGTAGTTCCTTCCCTACCTTCTCGACAAGCTGCGCAGTAGGTCTGTTCTTGGCATCTTCCGGTATTCGACTTGCATGTCTATACTGCCTAATAGCCAGTTACTGCGTCTCCTGGAAGCCGGTGGGAGCGTTGGTTTCCACTGCTACACGCACTTTGGAATGACTTGAAACCTCTCCCACAAACAGGCTAAAATGGCTGGCTAACTACCGCACCGGGAGCTACATGTAGTTTGACGAGGCTCGTTGGACGATTCGAGCTTCACAATCTTTCTAGCCAGCCATTTGTTCTGTATCTCCTCAGCATAGCAAACAAAGCTACATGTATGTATGTCCTGTGCCCGTATGGTATGTCTGCGCTGCCATTGCAATGGACCTTCCTCCTCAATTCATTTCTTGGGTTTTCTTCTTCCCAAGGTTCAAACCAATTTGCTTTCTTCGCTTTGAGTCGAGTCCCGAACGTGTCTGGGGTTGACAGCACCGACAGCCTCTGACACTCTCGCAACAGCAGAAGAGCAACAAACACATCAATCAAACCCAGGAGCCGAGAGACAAGCCCCTTGACATATTCGAGTGTTGTATTGAACGTATTGAAACGACCATGTTGGCATTGAAGAAGAAACGAGAGGCAGCAGCAGCTGCAGAAGCCGCCGCGGCAGCCGAAGAAGCAGCTCGGCCCAAGGAAGAGCCTTCTGCCAATGGTGGCACCCAAAAGGTGTCGCTGTTTGGTATTGGCGGTGAGAAAAAGACCAAGAATGGAGATGGCAAAGCGGGAAAGAAGCGATCTCCAGGAGAGATTCGTATCCAAAAAGGTAAAATTACTCACTATTGTGATTATTGATAGGGTACCATCCATACAACTGAGCTCTGTGACGCCAAATGATTGATTTTTTGTCATTTTCTTTTTCATGCATTTACTTTTAAAATATCAGACATTGCCGAACTGGACGGAGGCAAGGTGGCCAACATCACATTCCCCAATCCCAACGACTTGACGAGCTTTCACGTCTCCATCAGCCCTGACACTGGATACTGGACAGGGGCCACCTATCACTTTACCTTTACGATTCCACCTCATTACCCTCACACACCACCCAAGGTGGAATGCACCACGGTCCGTCAATCAGTGAACATGATTCAATTCATTCATTCATTGTAGATCTATCTATTGCTCACTCACTCTTGTATTTTGATCTCCCTTGTTATATCATGTCCAGAAAATTTACCACCCCAACATTGATTTGCAGGGCAAAGTTTGTCTAAATGTAAGTCACCACTCTCTGTGCTGCTGGAAACTCGTTCGAATCGAATCGTCTCTGACACCGTGCTTTGGCTTATGCCCCGCTATTTCAAAGATTCTTCGGGAAGATTGGAACCCGTACTCGACATCAATGCTGTCATTTATGGTCTCATTTACTCTTTTATGAGCCCAACCCGAGACCTCTCAACCACGAAGCTGCCGAATTGTTTCGAAAGGATGTCCGCCAATTCGAACGGTTGGTCACACGCACTCTTCGGGGAGGCATACTGGATGGTGTGCAGTTTGAACGGCTTATATAGAAAGAAAGGAACACAAGCAGAAAAATATCCAGGTGCTACGTCAAAACGACAATCAATGAGCCCAAATACTTGTCTGGTGGTTGCGAGAAGCGCCGATGCATCCAAGTCGCGATTGATACCTGCTTCCATTGTTTGTACGACGAAAGACGCACAAGTGCAAACCAGTCTACTTTCCGTTGATCCGATTCCTTGCAGCGATTCCTTTGTTCTACTGCCAGACAAAAAAACAATTAGCTGCAAATATTTGTTGCGATCGATAGATCAATGTCATGTCATAGTCTCGAAGAAGTCTACATGTACGTAGATTTGATTCATTCTTTTGGAGCCAGAAATCAGCAGCTCCATTTGGAAGCCATCCGCCCCGTAGTCCAAGGGCATCGTCTCCCGCCAAGCGGGGGCATCCAGACCACCGCACTGCAACCCGCCTTGATTGGATACGGTAGAACGCAACCAATTGTCCAGCATACAAAAAGGTGGCCGCCACGACAGAATGAAGCATCATTTGACCCTCGACCCACCGCATGGCGCAGTTCCAGACCAGCTCCCCCCCATCCATCTCCCACTCCCCCTCAACCACCAAGAACCCCACGAAGAAACAATCCGTGGTTTGACGGCCAACTGGCTATCTATTGGTATTGCCTTCCCTACATACCTTCTCACCCGGGTTGGTTGGTGAACTTGCCTCCGGTGACAATGCAAGGACTGGGTAACACTGGATGGCCAAAGGGCAGAGCCTCCCACTGCTCCATTGCCACCTACCGGTACATGTAGGACCAGAGGCTTGAGTGACCGTGAGCTTTTCCAAGCTAGCCGTCGTACCTGTGTATCTTTCCCAACAAACAAAGCAATGATGCTTGCAATGGGCCTTCCACCGGCGTCGTTTTGACCAGTTTCTGGCTTTCCTGTTTCAAATGGAGCGTTTTTCCATAATATCTTCAAGCAAATCGACAGTTTCACATCGACGACTGAGCAATCCACGTCTCGAACCTCGGATCAACCCTCCATCTCAACAACACCCACCCCCATCATTATGGAGACGGGAAAGAGCAGTCTGCGATGGGAACAATGCCAGACTATCAACACGACGATGAAGATGAAAGCGATCGAAGCCAAGTGATGCAGGCGGTCCTTGACGACGGAAGGGCTCTAGAAAAAGTAGGCCCAAGATATCAGGACGACTATCAAGTAGTGATGGCCGCCGTGAAGCAGTTCGGGCCTGCCTTGAAGTACGCCAGCGAGAGGCTGCGAGCCAATCGGGCTATTGTTGTGGCAGCTATCTGGCAAAAAGACAGATGGCACTTGGCATCAAGAGCCAACCAGTACGAATTTCCAATCCAATTTGCCGCACCCCAGTTTCAAAACGACGATTGCCTCTTGAAAGAGCTTGCCAAGGAGGACCCACTACGCTTGTTGCGGCAAATGAAAAAGACAAGCTACGGCAACAAAAAAGACGTGGTCCTCACAGCCATGCGCAACTACATAGGCAAGGATCCAGTGATCTATGATGTCTCCGAAGAGCTCAGAGAGGATTCAGATGTGTTCTCGATGGCGGCAGAGATGGCCATGAACACGTGTGTTACTAGTAACTTATCGGCTGTGGTAGGCTTGACACGATGCTCAGATGACAAGGATTTCATGATGAACGTATTGACGCATTATGGATCGTTCCTGATTTATGCCTCTGACACCCTCAAAGACGACGCCGACCTGGTTTTGGCAGCAGTCCAGCAAAGCGGAACCCCGTTGCAATTTGCTTCGGAAAGGCTAAGAGCTGATGTGGCCATTGCCACGGCGGCGGTTCAGAAATCCGGGATGGCTCTCCAGTTTGTTCCCTCACAGCTTCAAGCCAACCGAGAATTGGTATTGAGCGCCGTTCAGAACGATGGCAATGCCCTGCAATTCGCTTCTGCCACACTACAAGAGGATGAAGAAGTTGCGATCATGGCAATGCAGTCACTCAGAATTCGCAGAGATGGGTGGTTGGCCATTGCCACTGATAAGATACGAGCCAACCGCCGTGTTGTGCGGCAAGCCGTGCGGCATTACGGCTATCAGTTGCGCTATGCAGCCCAGGAACTTCAAGATGACAAGGGTATTGTTATGGACGCTGTGAGACAGGACGGTACAGCGCTTCTCTATGCGTCAACGAGGCTTCAACAGGATGCCGAGGTTGTCATGGTTGCCGTGCAACAGAATGCCAAGGCCTTGAGGCACGCCTCTGGCGGCTGCAAACTGAACTTTTCCATCAACATTGCCGCGGTTGCCAGTGCAGGGAGCGCGACCGACCCCGCATTGTCGTGCGTGCCTCGTCTTCTCCTTAATGACCAGGAATTTGTCTTGGCGTTAGTACGCGCAAAACCAAGGGCTCTAGCCCGTTTCTTCCGGCGGGGGTGGATGGGTTCTATGGTCGGATGCGCTGACGAGAGAGAGTTTGTGCTGCAGCTGATTAGTCACCTGAGCCCGCTGTTCCCACTCGAGTACTGCGATTGGTTCCCGTTGAAACGTAGTGATCGATCTATTCTGCTGGCCGCGGTGCAAAAGAGAGGATTGGCCCTAGAAGCGGCAAGCGAGCAGCATAAGGACGACCCATCAATTGTGCTTCGAGCTGTCCAAAACAACGGACGTGCTCTGCGGTGTGCTTCGGCTCGGCTTCAAAATGATAGGAACATTGTAATGGCAGCAGTCAGCTCCGTCAGGCGCCCCAGCGACCACAGATGCCTCGGTTACGCCCATAATGAGATGCGAGACAACAAAGAGATTGTCATGATAGCAGTTTCCCATAATGGTTTGGAGCTGAAATTTGCCTCTCGTCGGCTCCAGCAAGACCGAGATGTAGTTCTTGCTGCGGTAGAAAGCAATCCCATGGCTCTGGAACATGCGTCTGAGGATCTAAAAGCAGATACGGAGATTGTGGTCCGGGCGTTGAAAAAAGAGGGAAGAGTCCTCCGCTTTGCCACAGAAAGACTGCGCGGTGATGTCGATCTGGTCATGATGGCCATCTCTAGCACCTGGACTGCGCTACGATACGCTGCGGAGTCCGTACGAAACGATGAGGGTGTCGTCTTGGCGGCAATATCCAAAAACGGAGTGGCCATGTCGTTTGCCGGTGATTCTCTCAAAAACGACGATAGTTTTGTTGCGAAGGCGGTTGAAAGGGATGGCATAGCTCTCTCGTACACAGGAGATAAACTGAAACGAGACCCGTTTCTGCGACGTGTTGCTTTCGATGGGAGAAAGCTCCCGAGTGCCTGCGGGTCGTGCTTCTCTCAAGATGACGGTGGCGAGGAACTTGCTTTGGCCATAACGAGGAGCTCGTGGTTTTCATTCGATCTGATGTCTCGTGTCCCAAAGCGACATCTTGGAGACAAGGGTTTCATGATGAAAGCCGTTCAGCGCAATGGCCTGGCGATCCGCTATGCCCGCGGGGGCCTTCAGAACGACACCGAGATTGTTCTTGCGGCGGTGGCGAACGACAGTCATGCTTTGGGGTCGGCGTCTGCGAGGCTACGGGACGACAAGGCAGTGGTCATGGCTGCTGCCAACAGCAACAGGGGCCTTTGCCTGCGCCATGCATCATTTCGCCTGTGTGCAAACAAGGATGTTGTGTTGGCAGCAATGAGATGCGATGGGCTGTCCTTACGGGATGCTTCGTATGAGTTGCGAGCTGATAAAGATGCAGCACTGGCCGCACTAAAACAAAACAAGCGAGCCCACGGATATATCATGGGTGATGCTGCAAGTGACCGGGAGGTTTTGATTGCTGCTGGTTTGGTGGAGTTTTCCAACCATGACATCATTGTATTTGCTGTCAATGCCCTACAGGGCCGATACATTGTCCCATAAAGAGCATGTAAAAAGATAGACAGTTGGCCCACTTCCCCACACAGATCACACAAGATTACTAGCATGCCGTGCCAAGGCAGCAGAGGGCATTTGCCCGCGCCACGTCTTCACGAGGAAGTGCAGTGACGGTGCTACTCCTACAGATTGAAAGGGCCAAGCTCCCAGCAGTCTTTTAGGTTTGAAAGGAGGCTCAAATAGAATAGAGAAAAACCGCACAGAGCAGTTGTTGTTCTGTAAGTTCGTCCAGCACCACTTTAGACTCTAATCGGAAAATTTACGCAAACTTCCAACCAAACTTTACCAAACCAAACATCAAAGGCGCTGGTACTCCGTTTCTCACAATCTTGATTTTGCCCGTCAAAAAAGCAAGCAACAGCAACCATGGAGTCTGTTTCATTGTATGTCAAAGCCAAGGATGCAGGCGAAGCCAAGATTGCCGCCATCCCCCCATCGGAAACGTCGTGTCAGCCCCCCTACCGGAAACGTCGTGTCAGAGCTCAAAGAGAAAAGGAAACCTATGCCATACTTTATGCCTTGCCTGGATCAACTAAGCTTGGTGATGGCAGTGGTCACAGTGCCTCGATTTCTACATTTCTTGGGCCACTGGCTTGCAGAACGACACTGTACTTACACAAACTTCTTTCCTGTTACGACTGCTTGCTTGGAATACGAAATGGATACTCTCATCCATTTGTTGGAAGGAGTGGCACAAATATGTTTGGGTTCAAGAAAGTTCAAGTCGCAACCAACCCTTGCTGGTGTTGCACTCATAATGGGATTGATCTCTGCAGCCATCTTCACCCACGTTTCTTTCTGTTTGAAACCAGTCCGCTGCGGCCAGCCCACGGGATCCTACCGTACTGAACAAAGATGATCCAATGAACTCGGACTGAACAAAGATGATCCGAATATGGCCAATGGGCTCGGAAACAGCTCGGCATATCCACCACTCATGATCTTTGGCCCATGGGGTCACTGTTGGACTTTCATGGTGTTTGTTGAAGATTGGCATATTGCCTTTGCTTTGTTTGCCATGCTCGTGCCTCCTGGGTTTATCATTGGTGCCAATGGAGACATCCCCACCACATCCATCATCGTGTACGCTTTTGATTTGGTTGTGCTAAGCTCTCTGGGAGGCAACAATCGAATGTCCTGGGAGAGTTCTTTGAGGTACTGGAGCACAAGGTTTCAATGCATGAGTGCCAAAAGTCAAGCCTTTCTGATATCAAGTTCCATGACAATGTCAAACAATCAGATTGATACCGTAAGTTCTTGTAAACAGAGATATTAGTGTACCATAGATAAAACCAGCTACTCGTACTTGGTTATCTTGCTTGACGAGCTACTAGAGAGGGAGATTACGTAAGCATACAAAAGAAGTCATCATGAAGATACAGCAGACCTGCCAGATGACTTTCCTGGTTCCCCACCCTCCATTGCTTGTTCTCTCTGCATTGATTCGATTCAAATGATTTACACCGCCCAGCCATTGAAGCGTCGTTGTACATGATGAACTCATGATGGTTACTACGAGTAGTGGGTTGGTGGGAAGCAAAGCAGTAGTCTAGCTAGTCCGTCTTCAAAGTTTTGCGGGTGACACGGTTGCTCTTAGATGTGTGGGTCAACACCACGACTGACACAGTCCGAGTAGAAACTGCGACGCAAAGTAGCGTTGTTGATGAACAAGTCGACTACATGGGCCATTGCCAACCAGCCCCACCCCCCTCCAGCAGCCACTCGTCCTTTTCCCTTTTTACAAGCGCAAACCTGAAGCCATTCATTTATGTCTCCATGGATCCCACAAAGTCCAAGCCCTTTGGCCCCTGCGAGTCCTCAATTTGCCCCCCCCCCCTGATCCCACGGAACCTAGTCCCCAATTCCATTTATTCTCTGTCTAAGCCTGACCTTTTTGCTCGCTTCCATAGGTACCTCCCCTCCGGTTACCCGGATCCTAAACACCTTTTCAATTTGAAACAAAGACAAATTGTGTGCGGAGGGAAGGAAGGCACCAGGTTCTCTAATAGTCAATAGTCGTTCTAAAGTCGCGAAAGTCGTTCTAAAGTCGCGCACCGCGACTTTATCGCGACTTTTCACCGCGACTAGAACGACTTTCACGACTTTAGAACGACTTTAGGACGACTTTGCATGTAAATAACTAGAATTTTACCGCGACTTTACCGCGACTATATCGCGACTATTTGGTTCCAACTGAAAGTCGCGCAAGACTATACCGCGACTTTTACCGCGACTTTAGCGCGACTATCGCGACTTTTTTGGCGAAGCGGGTAAAACCTGGTGCCTGGTGCCTTCAAGACAGGTCGTCTGGCTACGATGGTGAAACAGCCCCTCATTGTTGTCCCAAGCTCAGTCCCATACGGTATCATATGTCCGGGTCGTCCTTCGGCCATTTTTGGAAAGCCTTTGCATCCTCCTTCACCCAGAGATTTAGAGTCCGTCAACAAAGGACTTTCAGACTTTCAGACGAGCAAAAGGAACAACGGAACGACGAACGACGAAGGACGACAACGATGGTTCACTCGACTGTCACTCGGACTCACTCCTCCTCCCTCCTCCCCAGTGTCGTGTTTGCTCACAAACGCCACACAACAACACCAACTCCAAGGCAACGATGAAACTTCCTTGTGCCAAGCCTATCTCCAGCTCCGCTAAGGAGAAAGTTCCCTATTTTGTGCCATGTTTTGATGAAAAGAGTTACTACATTCTTCTAGACTTCTTGCCTCGTCTGCTGCACTTGGCAGCGCATTTCCATGCCGAGCGAAGCTGTACACGCACGGATCTGTTCCCAGTCAACAACGCTTGTTGGGAATACGAAGTGGATACTCTGGTGCATTTGTCAGAATCCATGTTGCACACTTGTGTGTCCTTGAGCAGATTCAAAGCGCAGCTGACAGTTGCCTGCGTCTTTCATGATGGGGGTGATTTCAATCTGTGTCTTCACTCACGTCTTCCTCTTTGACGCAAGCCTGAGTCCGCTGCGACCTCCTCACGGGATCTTGCTTACCACGGGAGATACAGCGACGACAGATCATCTTCGCAATGTTCCAGCCTTTCCAATTCTATTGATTTGTGGTCTATGGGGGCACCAATGGGCCACGACAGCTTTTACCCACGATTTGCGGCTCGCGAATGCTATTTTTGCCATCTTTCTGGCTCCTTCCTACCTTGTCGGTGCCTTTGTTGGAAACATGTCTGCGGTTCTTCCCGTGCTGTACGCGCTTGATCTGCTTGTACTGCTTTCTGTGACGGGCAACAATCGCATGACGTGGAAAGACACTTTGTTCTACTGGAGCTGCAAGCTTTCAGCCAACACGAGCCTGACAACTTCAATCCCCTCGTCATCGTCGTCGTACAGCAGCCAGAAAGGCTCCATGAAATTACAGAAGCATTTGGATTGATGGTGATTCGGTTCGATTCGATTCATCATTCAGCCAGGAGATTTAAAACGACGACAAGGCCAAAGCAGGGGCGGGATTGGAGGTGCCGAACTGACGGACGGCGGAAACGTAGCATGCTTGGGTTGACGCTAATGATCTACTTCAGCGGTCCACTGTGTCGTATGAAACCAAACGTTGTCTGAAGTCGATTCCTAGCTAGGCAACTGCGTTCAGCACAATTTGTAGCCGCCTATAGTTGTAATTCTGTAATGTTACTTTTACATTTGCATGTATGCACATTGCAACAAGGAGTAGCGTACGGTACGGCAGACGAACCCAGAGACTGCTTGCTAGAAAATGTTGGCTGCTGCTGCCGCGAGGAATGCACGGTATCGGCGATCGATCTCGTCGATGCACGCGAGAAAACAGATGATGAGTGAGGCATCAATATCTTCGCCCGTTTCGATTTTCAAACCTGAGGAGTCCCCCGCCAGGCCACTGCTATCTCGTCGTCGTTTCATGACGTGAGCGCATGTCTGTTTGCCCCGTTGCACTTTGATGGAGCCATTCGTGTTGGGATGGTGCACAAAGAGGGTAGGAACTTCTGGTGCTGCAGCCATGTACAGTGCATAGCTCCCGCCTTTGAGGCGTTCAACTCTCCCCCATTCGTAGAGAGGCTGCCCATGCAGAGATCTGGCGGACGAAGCTTCCTGAGCCGCAAAGCAAGGTTTCGGGCAGAAGATTTGAAAGCATAAGCCGCTGACTTGCAAGACAGCAATTGTTTCCTTGGTTCTCGGGTCTTTCAGAAACATCCCTCCCGTGGTCGAGGCAGCAGATGTGTTCCGACGACGACGCTTTAGTTGCATACGTGAACGACACTTTCTACTAGCAATAGACGGGCCTTGTGTGAGCACTCTCTTATCCTCTCGATGGTTCTGATGTTTGCCGTTGCCGAGGTGGTAGATTGGTCTTGGTTTGGAACGAGACTTCGCCCGATCGCCCCGGAACTTGAAAGTTGCTCCATGATGTGATTCTGTGAAGGCGCTCAGTACTGAGTTTTGTGATCCCATTGCTCTTTTGCAGTACCACTTGCTTTTTTGGCGTGCTGTTATGTTGTGGTGCTTTAGATTAGTTTTTCGAGTTTTGTGAGAGCAGTGATGGCTTCATCTCTTGCTAGCTGGTAGCCAGCTTGATCCGAACCAGGAACCGTGCTTGCTGTGGCTGGAGCTACCGGTGCCACTGTGGGTGATCGAGCTCGTTCATCTTGGATCCCAGCACATGCATAAACAGTGTACATACGCCGGTCCCTTGCTGGGCTTCTGGAAGACAGCTTTAGAAAGGGTAGTTGAGGAAACTAAAAGTTTAAAGCTAATAATTTTGGTTACCGCATCTACCTGGCTTCTTTTTAAACTCCGTCATTGCGAGATGCAGGAGCAGGCAACCCCAAGCAATGTTTTTCTCAAAGCAGATTGTTCAGGAAGAGCTTCCCCTTCCAGTTAGGTAGTCGAGTGGAAGTCCGTACATATCTGTCTCGAAAGTATGTTTTGGAGCGGTGATGGCTCTAGCAAGTACCGGTACTTACCCGGGCGCCTAGTCGGGTGACGATAGGGCATCCAATTCGTCCGTTTTTGCATGGTTTTAGGGGCGACATTCTGGATGGTCGTGGCTACTGGTACTCTCTTTAGAAGTTGGAATTTCCACGAGATACGGTACCTGGTACACTGTACCGGCTCGGCTTGGATTCTCGTACCGGTGCAAACCCCTTCCACTCCTCCTGGCTGCCACCAGCCCAAAAGGTGCGAAGAAACTCCACTACCTGCAGTACTGGTACAAGCAACTTTGTAGTACTAGTAAGCGCCATCACTCTTTAAAAAGCACTAGTAATAGCTAGTTGCAAGGGAACGAGCTCAGTTTACCGTTTGACCCGTCAGTCTTCTAGCTTGCAACATTCATTCTACTTCCAAAGTGGAACACGTTGCAAGGGAGAAGCCGGGTTGGCAGCATGGGTATCGCACTTTGTGGACGGCAACAAGTTGCGTTTGCAGCGAACTCTCAAAAACAAAGCCATCATGTACTCAGCGACTGCTGCTGCCGTTCATCAGGAGTTCATCGACAATGGCTACAAAGCACAAGAAGAGCGCTGGATCAATTCCGGGTCCAATTTTGATATTCCAAAAAGGATCACTAAAGCTTCCATCTTCGTTTCTCCCTCGTTTAATCATGCCACACGTCAGTCTCCCGCATTCCACCAGGAGTGAATTTCCACTTCTGGTTGGTTGTGCCGTGTATACCGTGGGATTTTTGGGGTAATCCCGAGATTCCATCTGGTAGCATTGTTTTTTGTCTTTCACTTGCTTGATCGTGGCCCATTCATAGAGCTGCTGGCCAGGATTCTGTCGGTTGGTACTGTGTTCTTGACCCTCGTGACAAGGCTTGAGGGAGTAGATTTGGTACTGATTTCCGTCTCCTCGATAAATGAAGGCATGCACCTTTTTGGTCTCCCGATCTTCCAAGAGCATTCGAGAGCCACCCTTGATTTTGAGTGGAAAGGTTGTGGCGTCATTGGCATATGTGATTCGTCCTCGCGGGTTGGTCTTCATGTTGAGCTCGTAGACTTCTCCCGGTTGGGTACCCGCCTTGAAGCTGTCCACCATGACACTCGCAGGGATTCGATGCACATGGTCAAAGTCTCGATCGGTGGCCTCTGGCACGATGGTCGACGAACTGGCTGCTGCACCCATTGGTTTCTCACTGAGTTTCCTTCCTGCCACTTTTTGTTTTCAGGGATCAATGGATCAAGCCAACCAAGTTAGTCTATCTCTCTATCCTCGTCCGAGTTTTAGACAAAGGAAATCGGCAAAGGGAGACTTGGAGAGTTGGTGGCACGTTTTTCAAAGCTCAGCGAACTCAGAACTTTTGGATGACGTGTTGTGGCATTTTTTCAGAGGGGAACTCGTACAATATTCACAAATAAATTTTTTCTTCACCTTCAGGCAGAACAGGTAACCGGTACCAGTACCTGGTACTCGGAGTACTATTAATTGCTACAGTACTCCAGAGACAGGGGGTCAACAGCACCACAATGTAGCTAGCCAGTTTAGTCTTGGTTTGCTACTAGTGACTCAATCAAGGAAGAAGAAGAAAAAAACACAAGTCCTCTGCATCAACAGCAAACAGTGTTGTTGTTGTTGCCATCTCCATGTGATTACTACTAGCTAGTAGTGGTCATACCATCTACCACTACTCCACAAGAGGAAGCTGCTTGATTCAAAGTGCTTCCACTGTAAAAGTCAAATTCTGATCTGTACTGTATTGCATACAGTTTGATCAATGTAGTTTCCTGCTGCCCATACCGTTTACGGTTCATCGTGGGAACAATTTACTGTTTACCGTTTACCGTTCATACATTGACTTGTTCAAAAGAGGACAATATCTGTGTACGATATACGGTTTACGGTTTTACAACTTTTACTTAAAGTTGATTTACGATATACGATATACGGTATCCTCCCTCCTGCAATGTCTCTAAAGAAGCAAGGCACAACCCAAAGCCACAGCAGATAAACGGTAAACGGTAAACAGTACACAAAATAATTGAAACGGTACACAAAATTTCAAAGAGAAAAACTGCGGTAAACGGTATACCGTTTGGGCTGGCCACATGTGCACATTGTATACCGTATACCGTATCCGCCACCTCATTGGTGATGACTAAATTTTTAGGCAGAAGTGGGTGGGCCTGCTACATTGTGGTGCTGTTGACCCGCTGTCGTATTAGAATTTTAAAATTATTAGAATAAGCTTGATGACTACTATCATAGTATAATTTATTGACGCTTTGTAATCTGTGTCAACAAAATGCCAACTCTTTGATGTCCAGGGTTATCTCTTTTAAATCGTTTTGTATGCAGTTAATTCCAAGTCTACCCCTTCCGTAACCACTGTTCTCCCGAAAGAAGTTGATCCTACTTTCAAGATTAGAGTCTAATAATAACACAAATAAATGCACAAAATTAATGAACACTTCAAGCTTCAGGCTTCCTGGCTCCTGGCCACCAGTCACGCAACAAGCTTGTGTGAATACTTATAGTCTAGTAGTAGGCACACCTGGTACTCGAGTACAGCTGTGCCACTTCCCCACTGATGTTGCCAGCGAGGCAGCGAGGGCGGGCCAACCCACCAGCAAAAAACTGAACGAAGGAACAACGCAGACACATCCCCACCAACACGATCTCCTCAACAGTCCCAAGAAGGCAAGGATGAGCGCACCGGTAGCAGAGGAAGCGATTGAAGACCAAGAGGCTGTGCCAAGAGCACCTGAAGATGTTGAAGGGGTGAATGAAGAGGTACAGCCTCCAGAAGAAGATGATGGGAACGAAGCTCCTCGTGTGGATGAATCCATGGTCCTTACAAGTCAAGAACGTGAATGGGCTCGTGCCATCAAAACGGCCATCGAGAGCTGCCCTGATCTGGACAAACTCTCTGATTTTGAGTATTGCCAATTAGCAATCGTTGATAAGGGTGATGTGGCAGCTTCTGTTGACAGAGCCACATCCTTACAGGGATTCCGGCAGGAATATGATATTCAAAATACTCTGGAAGATGCACTTGTGGCTTTGCGCAACCATGTTCTTTTGATGCCCCAATCGATCCTTTCTTTCTGCTACAGTGAGGCCATTGGTGGATATACCCTTATTGCAGATATGGGATGCTGTGATCTGCAGTTACTGAAAACAGAGAAAGGTTGGAAAACGCATGTTGCAGGCCTCTACTATATGTTGCATGCCATGAGTCCCGACTTTCAAAGTATTCGAACTGGGATCACATATGTGTTAGAGGCTGCTGGATTCAGTTTGGCCTCCAACATGGACTTCAAAATTACAAAGAAAGAGTGCACAGAAGTGTACAGTGTGTACCCTTATACCATCAACAAGGTGAATTTCTTCCATACCGGCCTCTTCACCAACATGCTGGTCTCCTCATGTCGTGCTGTTTTGCCCAAGTCAATTACTTCCAGAGTCCAGGTTGGCTGCATATTCCCCCATGGGCGTTTGAACCTCTTTTACAATATTCCTGATGCACAAACTGCAATGGAACGATCAATTAAGCGAATGCAAGAGAGTGTTCGGAGGCGATATGCAATGCAAGCTGTGTTTTTAAAAAACGGATTGCAATAATGATATCTGAAAAAGAATTATTTTGGTGCACGTTGGGGGCGGATTGGTGGCTACGGTAGCTAGATTAGAGGAGAGTATTTTAATATTTTAAAAGATACGACAACACAGTTGATGGCAGCTCATTGTGGGATGGCAGCTCGTTGACACTTTGTGGGTAATCTATTATTTCTTGGAGCTCGGTAGAAGGATCCAATGTCATTCTTTACTGATGTGTTTGAGGGATTGCTGCTCATATGTACCGTCTACAGGTTGTGATAGGATGTTCGGAGAGGAGTGGAGACTGAAGAACTGGATTTCTCAAGGTGTGTGCAAAGTTCTGAAAAGCGAGAAAGTCGGTGATCTCGGATCCTCGTGCATCCAGAACCAAATTGAGGCCAGTCAGAAATCTACAACTTAGTAGTACCGGGACCTTTCCCAATACAGTAGGGAACGCCAGCAGTCAAAGGTCGGGTTACCAACCTATCACACTAGCATATGAATCTACAAGCAAGGCCACGGACCAATCCAGCCACAACCAAGGTTGCCTGGGACTATTTGGTTCACCAATTCGCACGAATCCAACCGTGCGTAGTCTAGCTCAATCGTGAAGGCGAGTATGTAGAAGTATCTAATCTTCAAGGGAGGCGTTCATCAGTCAGGGGATCGTACCGTTAGAGCTCACGGAATGGCTCATGAGTCGAGTCACCGCTGCCCGGGCACCGGGCTGTACGTGTACGGTCAAGCGGAGGCAACCCCGAAGATGGTCCGCTTCCTGTTCTTTTCTCTATCTGTTCGGTTGTCAATGAATGGTCACACCCAAGCGACCGCGACAGGATGAACCCTGAAAGGGATGCAGCCGGTGCAGCGGAGGCGACGCCAATCAGAGATCGTGAAGATCATGATGAGATTCCGGTAAACAACGACGATGTGGCTGTTGGAGACGGACCCGAGGTTGAAGCTGCAGATCGTGCCGTTGAGGATGACCAAGGGAATCAGCACCACCAAGACCAGGGAGCAGAAGACGAAAACGATGTTGCCGGGGATGACCAAGCCGCAGCAAGAGGCCACCCCATAATGCCGGTCGTTGCAGATGAAGCATGGACAATGGAAATCACTGACCAAGAACGCCAATGGGCTTGTACCATCAAAACAGCCATAGAAAGCTGCCCTGATCTGGACAAGCTGTCTGATTTCGAATACTGCCAATTCGCAATAGTTGATCAAGACAATGTGGAGGGTGCAGTTGACAGAGCCACATCCCTACAAGGCCTTTGTCAGGAGTATGATATCTACAACAGTCTTGAAGATGCAATGACTCGGCTAGATCAATTTGTCAAGTTGTTGCCTGAAATGTTCCTCTCTTTTACGAGCAACCACAGATCTGGTGGATATGCCATTGTGACTGACATGAAAGGCTATGACCAAAAAGCTCTCAAGACTGAGAAAGGGTGGAAAACACATATTGCTGGTCTGTACTATCTTTTCCATGCACTGAACCCAGACTTTCACAGTATCCGTCATGGAATCACCATTGTGCAAGAGTGTGAAGGCTACAGCATTCTTGCTAATGTGGACTTCAAGACTGCCAGGACTACCTCTGCAGAATTCTACTCTGTGTATCCTTTCAACACCCATGAACTTAAGTACTATCATACAAACATGTTCTTCAACATGACGATGTCCTCTTGCAAGGCAGTGTTACCAAAGTCGGTCAGTTCCAAATTCCATGTTGGTTGCTTCTTCCCTCCTGGGCGTTTGGACCGCTTTTACAATATCCCCGATCCACAAACTGCAATGGAACGAACCATTATGCGCATGCAACATAGATCTAGTGTTCGGAGGCGATATGAAAATGGGGCCCAATTTCAGCTATCATAATAATGAACCAGTCTCTCTTCTCTGCCAGTGCGGTATTGCAGTAGACGAATGAGTTTGTTAATCTATCTTAGGAGTGCTAGCCAGCTGCAGTTGAATATCTTTACGTCATACCACCCCAAATTATGCATTCGTGCTGCCTCAGTTTTGGACCCGCCAGCTATTTGTTGTATCTGTTGGCTAGCTGGCTAGCTGGCCCTGTGCGATAAAGCAATGTTTGATGATTCGATTCGATTCAATCACTCAGTACCGTACTTACGCGGGGAAGTATCAAGCATCCTTATTGCTAGCAAGCTACACATCTATCTGTCTACAGAATGGATTTGAGTTCTTTCATTGCGTTGCTTGGTTTCTATTGCAATCAAGCAAACCGAAGCATCCTTTTTGCTAGCAGCTACAAATCTATCTATGTATCTATGTGCCCAGCATCTACACTACAGAATGGATTTGCTTCCTTACGTACTTTCCATGTATTGTTATTGATTCTTTTTCCCCAGCAACGCATCGTGTCCTCCTTGCGATCCACCGCCATCCTTTTTCTTCTTTTTACCACCACCACCCAGGAGCCCTTGTGCATCCGGCGATAGCACCACTACAGCTCCCGCCGCCCCAATAAGGAGTAACAACAATGTCCATCCCGAAAAAATCCATCCAAACAATCCGGCACCCCGAACACCGCGCGATTCTTTGGGTCGAATGTATCCATCGTCAATGGCGGTCAAGAACGCTTGCAATGTCTTTTCTCGATAATACGAATCTTGCCAATACAAGCGTCGCGGGACATCCAACACGAATGCTTGTGGCAATTCTGTTTGTTGGACATCAAATTGTTCGAGAAAATTGGCCCATCGAACACCGTCCATCCAACCAAAGTAATATTTTTCATTGGTCAATCGAGCGGGGCCATTAATGGCAAACGACTCTAGCTCTTTTTGTATTCGCCCCATGATTTCTTCTTGGCGTTTGTCCACAACACCAATGACGAGGGGTCGTCCGAGTCGTCCAATGCGATGAAAATTGTGCGGTCCGAATTCCGTCAATGTGGCGACATTGTTGCGTTTGACAAATTCCAATACGGATTCGACATCAATCATGGTGTGTTGTTCTAGTAAACAGCGCGACGGGACGTGGGCTTCGAGTCGACAGACAAATCCTCCTTTTTGAAGTGGAGTTGGTGGAGGCGCATCCAAATCTTGTGTGGCGCCACTATCAGTATCATCGGCCACAACGGAGGAGGGAACTCCCGTAATAGCACTGGTATCAATGCGTGCCGTCAATGCGGAGAAGTGGGCGTGTGCCAATTCTTTGCGAGCCGCTTGTTTGCAGACTTTATAAATGGGACTGGTGGCCGCCAATTGTTCTACTGTCAACGTCGAAGCGGGCGCCGCCACGGTTTTACGAGGATCGTGACAGACAAAGGATACGCCGTGTCCGTACGTTTGATCTTGTGTGAACTTGTTGGCTTGTTCGACCGAATCGACAATGGTCATGACGGGACGACTCAGCCGTTCGGCAAATGCGACAAAGTCTTCTTCACTGCGTCCACCCGTATAATCGTACAGAATTCCATCTAGCGAGTATTTCAAAGTAGGATATCCTCTTACTCCAAATTCTTCACAGAGCCGCTTGTCGTCGGTACAATCGATTTTACCAATGGCAATGCGACCGGCCACTTGCGGCGCCGTGGCTTCCAAAATGGGTGTCAGTCGTTTGCAATGACCACACCAATAGGCACCAAACATGTACAGAAAGATCGGATTGGCCGTATCGTGACGCGCGCGACGAAAGGATACTTCCGACAGTGTCACGAGCTTTTTCACTTTTTGGCCTTCCACATAGCCGTCTTCTGGTACTGTTGTGACACCCACTACGGATGCATTGGTACTGCTAGTAATACATGATAAACACAGTAGTGTAAAGAGGAGCAGGGACAACTGTTTCATCTTGTTGCTACCGGTAGTGGTGGACACTGCCAAGGTCAAGAGAAGATGGAGGTTGTGTGCAATGGAATGGTGTGGCCGTTGGAGCCTCTTTTGGGAGCTCGGAACATGGATCCAGAGCAAGTGAGAGACCTCATCATTCCAGTCACAGACCAGTCACAGCCCTTCAGGGTCGGGTATCGGACCCACGAAGTGCATTCTATCCACGGTACCGGTATAATCCACGGTCGCTGCAAAGTGCACCGGCAGCCAGAACCGGCCAAGCGAATCCAAGTCAAGAACATGGGGCTGTCTGGACTGGAGTGTTTGGCCTTGTCTGCTTCTGGCCGGGCTGTCTACCATCCACCAGGGCTGGTCCGCTTCCGCTCAAGAAGCTGCGTTCTTCGTCCTCAATACCGGTAGCAAGCAAGACCACTACCGGTACTAGCTACGGGTGCACTGCTAGCTACGGTAGCTGCCTCTTGGATACCGGTACCGTAGAAAACAAAGACGAAATGCAAGCTCAGCCAGCCAGCAGATTATCATACGAAATGTTGCCCCTTTTTTTTTCACCAGAAGCAAGTTCCCATCAAGAAACTGGTACTAGCAGCACCAAGCAAAGAAGAAGAACGGCATGATCTTCCGCCAAGCAAGAAAGCCCAGGTTAGGCTTCGCTCCATGTTTATTTTGCTTGCTTCCTCCTCTATTCCGGAGGCATCTGTGCTGCATCTGGTGCTCAGAGTCGAGTCTAGAGAACCAAGCCAGTTCCGCAGGAACAATTCCTACAACATGTACGAACTCTGTTCTCATGCAGTCTAGCTCAATCCTGGCTGGTTGCACAATAATAATTCGACCGTCGGTCGCAAGCAACTGTCCGCAGCTATCCAGCCTTCCAGCAAGGGACGCTACTTCACTCGGAAGCAAGGATCCTCCTGGACGCTGTGCAAAGCCAAAGATGCCTAGCTAGTACCATTACCCAAGATGTACACATCCAGCCATCATTGCGGCTAAAGAAGAGGAGTCAGAGCGAGTCTACAACAAAGAAGCAAGTTGGCTTCAGCCAGGACAGTTGGGGTGTTGGGGTCAATCTTGGTTGCACAATTCAACCACGGCGACTGTCCGCAGCTATCCAGCCAGCCAGCCAGGTTACTTCACTTGGAATGCAAAGATCCTCCTGGACCCTGCGCAAAGCAAAAAGATGGCTGAGTGGCTAGCTAGCTAGCTAGCTAGCTAGTAGCGGTACCCAAGACATGTATGATTACCGCTAGAGAACCCGCATCATCAAGAATCTATGTGCCTGTCGCTACTTCTCTACTTTTGCAACCCATTCGCTTATTTCGTGTTGCTTGCTCTTGCATGGGCTGGCTGGGCTGTTGGATGGCTGCATGCTGCGCTGCGTCACGCAGAACTACATGTAAGTCGCAACTCGAGCGGGAAAGAATCTATGTATCTCTTGAGAAGAACTGCTCCTGGTTGCCGTTCGAGTTATTGGGCTTCTGTTGCGTTCTCTGGAAAAGGTCTTGTTCGACAACAGAACTCTTCCAAAGAATACATACATACATAGTACATAGACTACTCTTCCAGCAGCGCAACTACAAGAACTGTGCTTAATAAAACTGAACAACTGAACGCAACCAAGAAGCAATCACCACGATGTCGCAGCTCTCGCAACACATATCCCATAGGGCATAGTGGAAACAATCGCCGGTGAGTGGCAATCGAGTCCACGACTTATACAACAAGCCAAAGCACTATTTTTAGAGCTAGTTTTAGGCAGCTTTGTCATAGGCTTGGCATTTTAGGCATGTCCATAGTGGTCCATAGCCTTCGCGATTCTGAGAACTGCTTACAGTGGAAGGCTGGAAGCAACCTCAGCAGGCAACGGCTGTTGTCACCCCCGTTCTTCGCTCCACCGAAACTAATACGGTAGCCACAACGTCGCGTCATGTCCCAGCCATAGTTCTTGCAACAGGAACAGTACGGTACGGCTGGCAACAACTGGCGTTCTCATGCATTGGACTACATGTAGCAAGGCAAGATCTGCCTGACCCACAGAAGCAAGATGTGGCAGCGGACAGGTTACATTAGATAGCCGGAGAATGAGGGAATGAGAATGATTCTAATTCATTCAAAATATGCACTGTCCCTTCGGATCTTCCGAAGTCTGAGTACTGTACTGGTACCGGCCAGCAAGCATGTTTGGGGGCTGCACCTGCGACAGACCCCTGGCTAGACTATTAGTACTAGCAAGTAGCAATTGCAAAGAGACACCCCAGACTCGCGGCAATAAAAATCAATAAAATCACCAGCAGCTGATGTTTTGTGGCATAATGACCCCAGCACCTGTTCCACCATCGGAACATCATGTGTATTGGTGTACAAACCCAGCAAAAAGACAGTTCGCAGGCTTGTGGTTGCCGTAATCCTCAAATCACCAGGTGATGTTTGTGGCATATGACCCCGATCACGAGTTCGCTGCTGCCAGCACGGATTCTGTGCCCGTGCCTCCAAAACAAACATGTAGCATAATCGCTACTGGCTAGAGTACATGTACCGAATAGTACCATAGCTACTCTAAGTACATGTATCTAGGTGCTACGTAGCTCTAGCTCACCTTTCCACCTTTAGTACTACAGAAATTGGCTGTTGAGTCCCTTTGAGCAAAGCCTTTATCGGTCCAATTTGCTTGAGATCTCTCGCTGGCTACATGTAGAGTAAAAGTCATTTTAAGACCGGGTGAAGATTAAGACCATGTAATTAATAGAGGTTCTTACGTAGGATCCTACGTAGCTTCGGTACCAGAGCAATAGAGGTGCTTCCTAAGTGTTCCGTAGGATCTTACAGGACTCTCCTATGTAGGATCCTACACAGTTAAGTACTGTAAAGTCTTAAACTGCCGAGAAAAAGAATTCGTCACAAAAGTGAGGATATTTTCAATCAACCATAACTCCACCAATAAGTACACTCTGATCTTGGGAATTTAATGGGATACTCAACAACATTTGCCCTTTCGATTCAGCTACTTAGAAGTACAATATTCGAGATCCACCTCTTAAGAGAATAATCCGGGGAAAGGTCCGTCGTAAATCGCATTTTACTCTAGCTAGCCAGAGCTCGAAGCTGAAGCTATCACGTTCCTTTGCACCCTTCCTACGATAACCTATGATGCGAGGAGCGACAGTAGCTACCAGGTACCATGGTACCTGGCTGCTGATCTAGCTTGCTTCACGGGAGGCCAGCACTGGCTCTTCAAACGAGTGTATTCATTCATCGACAAGGGCCAATGCTCAGCCAGCCATGGAAAATCTTTGAAAACGCTACCGACGATAGATCAATGCTAGATTTGGGTTTGAGGAGACGTAGTACGTGTCGTCTAGTGACATGGTTAATGGATCTTATTTCTAAAGTTGTGAATAACGTAGGTGGGCCTCTACAAACATGGAAGTATAAGCAAAACTGTTGGTGTCTCTGAAGCACCGTCTTAGCTCAAGCACATGGTGCTGCCAGGGCTTTCAACATGCAAGTCATGTCCAACAAAGCCGTGTTGAGGAAAAACTCGTCCAGGAAGGCTTGTTCTTGAGGCGGGCAGCCGCCGTCACGGGACAGGACCTTGAGCATGGCATCCATCTCCTTCTTGAGCTGCTCGCCACTGATGTTGCCAACCTCCAGGGCAATAACCAGACGGTTGTTCTGAGCTGCCACAAAGAGAAAGCGAAACATGTGCTTTGTGGCATGCGGCTGACCTTGCTGATGCTGCAAGCTCACCTCGAGCACCTGTTGGGCAGATCGATAGAGGCGATCAGCTTTTTGATAGAGGGCGTTGGCACGAGCCTGATCTTGTGGGAAGGAGGACCAACTGGCCATCTTGGCTACTTGGTGGACTGCAACAGCCAAGTTGAGCATGCCAGCAGCCGAGTAGAAGGCCACGTCTTCAGGTCTTGGTCCTCCAGCAGACAATGCCAATGCCAGGGCGCCATCAAACAGACGTAGCTCATCACCTTGGCGGCAGTCATCTTCGTTGCTGGAGAGAAATGGGACAGTGGAGAGCATGTAAAGATCGAATACTTCAGACGGAGACGCCTTGCTTTCCTCCATGGGGGTTATCAGGCTCTGATTCAGCATTGCCAACGAGCGCTTGATGTAAGCAATTGCCTCTTGGGGCTTGCCGCTTGACAAAAGAGCCACGCCCTCATTGTTTTGGATCAAAGCACTGGTGATCAGAGTAGCTTGAGGGGTAGTACCGGTAGCTGCAGTGGCGGTGTTCATGGTGGTAGATGCAGAAACAGCGTTCATGGTTGGAGCTGCTTTTTGAGTGATGACTGTCTCTGGTTGTTGAAGGAGTAAAATTATGAGCAGAAGTGAAGCAATTGCAAGTGCCAAATGAAGCACAACTTCTTCCCATGCAAGATTGCCGATCGCTTTAGGCTTGGACAAGCTTTCTTGTTGCACTGCAGCTTTTCTACTTTTCAACCCACTGCCAGTCAAGTAAACAGTTTTTTGCCGGCATTTTGCAGTTGGTCGTTGGTCGAAAGTGAGTTTTAGAGCTGTATTAGTGTTCTGGTAACAGAGTACAAATGTTTTTCTGTAAGAGAAGCATAGCTCTGCAGCTGGATTCTGGGTATGATTGTGGTACCGTTTTGTGTCTTAATGTAGTAAAAAGCTGATGAATGACCCGTGAGAAAGATCGCATTCAAATTGGGACATATTATCACATTTTCTATAGGACACAGAATGATGAGGTTTCTTGTACGGAACCTTAGTTTTAGCACTCACTTGGTCAATTCACCGTTGACCAAGGACTTGGTGGTAGCGGCTGTGGTAGCTCTGCTGTTTGGTGCTCGAGTTCTACCGGCACCTTGCCACCATGGGCTAACAACCTGACAACCTGACAACCTGACTTCAGGGCTACCGGTACAATTCTCGGTACCGGCACTTGCAAAAGGAAAACCTGCTCTACAAACAATCTTCAAAGGTATCCCTGATTTTTCAGTTGCCTGTGCAAAGATACGGCATATAATCCTTCGCACTTGGGAAGGTACATCTCGTTACATGTGGATGATCACAAAGAACGAACCACATGAGCAATCCAATCAAATACTGAGCTGTTCTACTGGCTGGCTAGAACTGCCGCACCTCAAGAGTGTTGGCGGCTCTGTTCTCTCCAACCCAATGGTGCACGGATTGACATGGATTAGTAGATACGAAAAGCTATCAATTTTTATCCCATATTACCGCGTCACCCGTGTAATGGACAGGAGAGGACTCGATAACAGCATGCTCTAACCGTAATTTCAGTTCTTAAATGGTGAATAACTCTTCCAAAGTTTCGGAAGTGATTTTGGCCAGTGAAATCATAAGACTTTCTGAAACCCATATATCACCATTTGTAATAGCGACTGCTGACCGGTATTAATGAAACTTGGGTGCCTTATCGGAACACGAACATGTACACATGCACATGTGTAAACAGTAAAAGCATCACTCATAAACTAACTTTGTACAAGAACAGTTGCAGACACAACTCTTCGGCTGCTCTTCGTTGCCTAAAGCAGAGTCCCAGCTGCAGTCGCACAAGAACGGACTGGATTGAGTCGAATGCACAAAAAAGACTGCATGCCCTTCAACCTTCAAGTGTCACAGACTTTTTGTCACCCAATACCGGTAGCAGACGCTGTTGGTCGCAAAACAGACTGAGTCGAGTCGAGTCGAGTCCTTCGAATCGAATCAAATCGATTGCACAACATAGACTAACAACATAACAACAGACGACAGACTGCATGACCTTCAACCTCGGGTGTCCGTTGGTTCGCGAAGCGGATACAAAACAGGCAGTTCCACGAGTCAGTCGGTTGTCTACTTAAGAAGTCGGTTATTACTACGGTTAACGCAACCAATCTTCAGATAGGGTTAAAGCCACCTGTTACTGGGCGAACCGGCAGGCCGGCGGCTTGTGATGCGCACCCTAGCTAGCCTGATCCCTGATGACCAGGGGTACGAACAAAAGGAGGGCGATGGAGGCTCATCTTGGAAACCTCCGCTGCCTAATGACTGTCACCATACTAGCTAGCTAGTAATGTTCTTGAGCAAAGCAACCACAGATTATAGTCTAGCTGGACTCACAAAGCTAGCTCCGGTTAGCTAGTTAGGCAAGATTTGCATGCAATGACATTGCTTTTGGGACACCTAGCTAGAGGGCTATTGTCCACCCCTGTCTACACTATGATGACGGAAGCTCAGAGCTGGGAGTGCTAAAAGTGGTTTGGGCTCAAGAAGGCTACTATAGGTACTAGCTAGTGCTAATTGGCTGCTATAATGGCCTAACCCAAGCTGTGTGGGAGTGGCAGCATTGGCCACACTCCTCATTCAGCTGTGTGAACTCTTCACAAAATACAAAAGGGTTAAAAGGGGGATAGCGAACAAAGCTTGAGCAATGGACTCATGAAAGCTGCACGCCAAAGACGCAAGCTGCCGAAATCGCTCAGCCAGGCCCACCGTGAGACGCTGCACTTGACGTACCTGTAGTTTTCTCGGCCGTGCGGTAAGTACCGTAGGAGTACAGTACAGTACAGTAATAAGAGTGCACGTAGGACGTAGGACCCTTCGACGGACAAGCGAGTTTACCGTACGGCGCAGGTTGAGGAGTGAAAGCGATGAATGAAAATGGCACTCGCGGTGCAAAGTGGAAGAGGACTGGTCCATAGTATTTAATACTCAGGTTTCTATTACTGGTGTAACTATCTTCCAACCAAGTCAATCCCTCCAAGGTGCTTTTTATTTTCATTGCTGACGGTACTGTAATTTGGAAACCCGTAGCTGAAAAACCGAGTGTCGTGTATGATCTTTTACGGAATGTTTTTTCAATTTGTCCCATTTGAAAAAAGTTGATTGTAATAATCGTGGGTTCACAGTATACGTTCTCAAATTCCAAAATGAATGATATTGGGGTCCATGGGCGGAGGTGGTGGTTGTGCGTGTTGTACTTGTTGTGGATCTACTACCACTGGTTCTACGACGGCTTGATCGACCACGACGGCCGGCTCGAGAATGTGTGGTTGAACGACGACAATGGGATCCATGGCGGCCACGGCGGCCGCTACAGCAGCCGCGGCTTCGGGTGGTGGTGGTTGTTGTTGCTGTTGTGCCAGTATCGCCTGTAATTTGGCATCGTTTTGTTGGAGGAGTGCCGTTTGAGCCGCCAATTCGACTTCTTGTGCCGCAACTCGTTGTTGGAGTGCCGCAATTTCTTGTTCGTCATCTTGGCGTTTGCGTTTTTTCGTCTGTGCTTCGAGAGTGCGTTGTTCCGCCAGCAGTGAGTTTTTCTCGCGACGCAGTTCCAATTTCTCTTCCAATAATTTCAATCGATCTTCCTGAAGACTAATCTTGTCTTGTTGCAACTGAATCGATTCTTCCTGTAGTCGCACCAACTTTTCCTCTTCTCCTTCGTCCTCCTCCTCGTTATCTTCTTTCTTTTGTGGATTTTCCTCGGGTATCTCTTCTTTTGGTTCTTCGGGTATCTCATCTTTGGGGGGCATGGCGGTGGTTGGGGTATCCTCTTTTTGCTCCTCGGGGGTGTCCTCTTTCATGGTGGTGGTACTGGTATCAGGAGCATTAGCTACTGCAGCTGCTACTGCTTCTGCAGCTGCTACTGCTACTTCTTCGACCCTTTGGTCTTGCGGTGGTGGTGGTGCGGCTGTCGCTTCTTCTCCCTCCTTCACCGGTTCAACCTTGGCTTCCTCCATATTCTCAATCATCGATTCTAGTAGATATTAGAAGCTACCGCAGATGTAGATGGAGATGCAGCAGGTGGTTTGTGGTGGTGGCGTTGAATGGTGAAGCTGGTTGTGTGGGGTTCGGGTGGATGTTGTTGCTCCAATCCTCCACCCAGCAGAGCTGATTGACAAACAAAGCTGTGCCTCTGCATTACATATTCGTCGCCAAAGGTTCCAATGCACAGATCGTACGCGCGGTACAGGTAAGAAATAGAATTCTATTTTAAGGCTACTCTGAGTACGACTATCCACCGTGCCGCTACCCTAAACCGATAACCCCCACAAACATTGGGGCGGAGAGAGTTGGCCCCCTCAGCCGGGAAAGTTTAAAACCCAACCGAGGCAAGATATTAAGGGGAAGGTCACCAACCGGACCCGCCCGTGCTGCTGCTGTCACCAGCACTGCTACTAGCTGCACTATTGCTGATAGTGTCAACACTGCTGTCATCTAAATCAACGTCAGACCCGAAAGCCTGATCCAAAGTTGCTGCTGCCTCATGGAAGGCTGCGGCCAGTTGTTGCTGCTCTCTACTTGCTTTGTCGTACGCGCGGTACAGGTATAAACAGTAATTTTTCCATTTCCATGTCATGACGTGGCATGCCGCCAGCCACCACCATAAAACTACCCCTCACAATTCTCTCCGAAACCATTGCACCTCGATTGCAATGGAC